AATTATTCAAGATATTAATATAAATTTAAAATATCAATTCAAGTAATTAAAATAATTTTAATTTTTTATAAATATATTGAAATACATTTTTATTAACATACAAGTAATATATATATATATATATATATACATATATATATATATATAAAGAGACTAAATTAATAATTAATTTAATTATTGATTTAGTGACTGGATTCGATGACCGAATCGATGACTGAATCGATCGTAGATCGATGGCTGATTCGATGACCGATCGATGATCGAATCAGTGACCGATCGATGACCAGATCAGTGATCGATTCGGTGGACCGAATCGATGATCGATTCGGTGACTAATTTAATAATCAATTTTAATTTTTTTATTCACATGCTAAATTAAAAAATAAAATCAAATAATTATATTACTAAATTATTTAATAAGTTAGTAAACAATTTTTTTAAATATTTATAATTTTATTAAAAATGTTATCAATTATTTTAAATCATTAAGTAAATTTATATTTAAAATATTTTAAATAAAATATTTATATAAATGAAAAATAGTTATCAGTTTAAAAATTATTTTTTTAGTGATCTGAAATTTTAGTCACTAAATCAGTTACTAAATATAAAAAAAAATCAGTCACTAATTTCGAGTCACTATTAACCATTTTTGTAGTAAATAATTACATAAATTAAATATAGATTAATTAAAAAAATAAATCAAATAATAAAGTGACTGAAATAGTAACCGATTTTTTGTGACCGAAAATTCGGTTACTATTTCGATTACTAGACTAAAAAATAATAATTTGGTTACTGATTCGGTCATCGATAGTAACTAAATTTTTCGGTCACCGATTTCGGTTACTATTTGACATTTTTCTAGTAGTGTTTCTTGAAACAGAATCCCCGAACCTAAACAATGTTTATCCAACTTCTTATATTTGAGAAATGAAATAATTATGAATTTATTCTTATTCTAAAAAAAAAGGTTGAGTAAAGAAAAAGGGAAAGAAAAACATAAATATTGTGGCTGAGCTGAAATGATAAATGCAAAATGAGAAAAGAAAAAGGAAATTCAAATCGGTGTGAATGATAACTTGTGAGATTTAGATTGTCAACTCAAGTATCATTATGTTGGAACAAAAACATGAAGTTTAAGACTCGACTTGGAGGAAATGTTAAACAAAAATCATTCATATAATTTCAATTTTACAAATACTTTTGTATATTATAGAAAAACCAATGAATTCCTTGATAGTCCAACCCCATTACAAGTCTCAAAAGACCTTTTTTATTCAAGTATTGCTTAACAAATGTTGATTGCTTGAAAATGATTATCCATATTGGATTATCTAAATGAAATGATTGAATGAGATAAACATTTACCCGTGAGAGTTAGAGATGATTATATATCATTTTATTTGAGAGATCATGCTTCTCTGAGGATGGTTGATGATTAATTATCCCTTGTTAGTTTTTGTAACTATAATGTTCATGTATCCTATTTTCACTTGAAGTTGTGAACATCATATCTTGAAGGAAAATTATTTTTGGTGTTATGTGTTCTGGAAGAGAAAGTGAGAATAGGCAATGAAAATTTGTTTTGGAAGAATTAGTACTTTGCTTGGGGACAAGCAAGATTTTAGTTTGGGGGGAGTTGTTAAGTGATAAAAGTTGATGTAATTATACTTTTAATTGTTATTTAACCACTTAAATTATGTTGATTATAATATATTTTTCTCTCAATGTCGGATGAATTTGCAGAATATCTTGGTACAAGAGCAAAAATCATAATTCTCAAAATAATAGAAGAAAAATTGAAAAAGAAGAAGAAGAAGATTTTTAGTCTGAGATTCGCTCAAGTGAGATGGATACTCGCTTGAGCGAAAATACGTTAAAGCTCTATGAAAGTCACACGCTCAAGCGAAAATTTATTCGCTTGAGCGAAAATATGTTAAAGCTCTCAGAAATTCAACTGCTCAAGCGAACAATTCTCGCTTGAGCGAAAATCATCATTTTTCGCTTGAGCAAATGTTCTGCTTGAGCGAATGTTCCACTTGAACGAATGACGCGTAGCCTAAATTTTTTCATAAAAAGATAAAATACATTTTGAGAAATTAATCTTAGGTTTTGAGAAGAGAGTTGCGACATCTTCTTCAGTTTTCGTCCAATCTTCAATTCATTTTCAATTCTTCTTTATTTGGATCATTGTAATGATCATCATGAGTGACTAACTTCATTCTCTTAGGATTAGGTGCACTTCCTTTGAACTCTTTTGTATCTTGGTGATATTTTGAGATATTAATTTATGTTCTTGATGTTGTTATTCTTATCATTTGTACCTCTTAATGCTTTTATCCTGGATATTCATATATATTAAAAAATATATCTTGAAATCTTTGATTAGGTTAAGAATATTTGCTACATTGATTGCTAGGAATGGTAATAGATGTTTCAATTGCTTAACACCCTAAACCTAATGCTGGAAAATCTATTAAATGTATGAGGAATCTATGTTTATAAAGTTTTTTTATGAATTTCATGTTTGAGGAATCAATGTGAATTATTTGAATAGGTGACATCAACATTTATAAGTTAATTGATGTTATTAATTTGACCTGGCCATTATACAAAGGAGGAAAAATGAAGTAAGTCAATCTTAAGTTCTCATAATTTATCTTTTCTAAATATATTTTATAGCTTTTTACCATTTATTTTCAACCCAAAAACTTATGAAAAACCAATTTTGTGTCAATACACTTAGTAAGTATATGATTCAGAATTTCCAGTGAAACTGTTACTCGTGGATCGAATTTTATTTAATTGAAATACTATACTGCAATTGATAATATTGGTATGCTTATAAAAAGACCAACAAAAACCATTTTCATTCTAATTAAAAAAATTGAGTTAAATTATACATTGTTGGTTAAGGAAGTGAGTTTAATTATAGTGTTTATTTATTTTTGCCAGCATCCAAACTTAATTAGTATGTTGCTCAAATAGAGCTATATTCAATTCAATCAAACAATGTTACTAATTGTCAATTAATTACATTATCAAATATAACATATATAATTCTTTGTTTAGCTTTAATTTGGCTAGCTACTTTTTTTTTTTTCTAATATATTTAGCTTTAATCTGTTGACTTTTATGAACTTATAATTTTTCCTAAGAGCACATTTTAGTGTAAAATAGACATATTTACAAGAACATTAAGAGATTTTTTTTTTGGTAAATTCAAATTGTAGTCTAAATATTTCATGAATAGAATTTAAAGAGTAAGATGTACTTAAGGTCTAAATTCCATTTTCAGTTGAGAAAATAAAAGTACCAGGATTTATTGGACAAAATTTTGTCACTTAATGTCCCTTTAAGTTGTTTTTGTCCAGTACATATATAAATATTATTTTTTAAAATAACCTGTTTGATCATTTATATACCCATCAAATCAATGTTGCAGGAAATGCAAAAATAGAAGGATGAAAAAACATTTGCTCTTTTTGTATACTTCTTGGTAAGGAATTTACGATTGATGAGTCGTTTGAAACGGCTTAAGAACAAATGGTTTTCTACTCTTATATAATATGAAGACTCGTGTATTTTCAAGTTTTTAAATTAAAAAATAAAAGAGAAATGAAGAAAGAATAAAAGAATATTTTGAAAATGTGAAAAATATCAAACACACGTAAATGACGTAGGTGATCTATATTTTATAAAATTTCTGGTAGTAGCAGTTACATGAAAAAAGAAGAAGAAGGGGAAGACCAACTCCATATCTGACCGCAGTTTATTATAATGGGACCACTGATCTTTTCGTCAAATTTCAGACGGCAATAATGACATTCATAAATAATTTCTTGTTAATAATTTTATATTTTTTATTTACTAGAAACACTTTTCATTTGGACTTTTCTTTGAGTTAAATTGAGACTACAGCAAAAAAGATTTTAACCTTATGATAGTAATACCCTCTTAAATAAATTAAATTTGTATTAAAAAAAACAAATGTATTTTTCTTTATTATTTTTTCTTAATTAAGAAAACGGGGTTTGATAATGAATTTAATTTCTTTAAATAAAGTTTCGAATTTGATTATTACAAATAAAAATATATAATTAAGAGAACAACCATCTCATTAAAAGTTATTAACTAGATTTTTCCAAAGAGATTAGTGACAGGGAAAGTTTTTAAGTAAGGGTGTAGTATTTTTGCATTGACCAGTGACAATGCACTGATTTAATAACTGAATGCCAGGTGATCCAGAATCTGGACCAACTAATGAATAGAATACAAAAATTTGGATATGAGAACCTCGTCATGTTTAATACTAGTTTTTTTTTTTATCTATTTCACTTTCATCCTTATCTTTCTTCTTTCAATTCCGCACGTTCTATTCTAATTTCGAAGTAGACCAATGTCAATCTCTATATTAATAATAATAATAATAATAATAATAATAAGAGAGTGCAAAAATTGTTCGGTGTGCGAATAAATAATTTTTTTGGCTTATTACGGAGTCCTGCTGCATATTGGCCCTGCGACAGCTCATAACATAACTACGCGCTTTCAAACTTTAGCGTCGCAATGGAGAGATGTTCCTGTTCGTGTCTCAACCTGCTACTTTATGCTCCCCTCATGTTTCTTGTTTTAGTACACTTTGACAACACAAAAATCATGCAGATACTATTTTAAGTTGAGGCAAAAAGATAAAAGAAAAAGCTTCATACAGTCGTTTCACATCATATAAAAAAAGTAAAAACAAAACGTAAAGGAACTCCCCGTACGAATGCATCCTGACCAGTGCAGGACGAATTCTCACAACCATGGAAATACACACACACATATATATAGTAGCACTACTAAAACAAGGAGACATGGTCTCAGAACAAAAGTTGCCCTACGTACCCTAGTTTTTCGGGTATAGTTCTTCTCAACTTAATTAATTTACATATACTATCCAAGTTCTATTCCATTATATGTTACTTTAATTAATTGCTTAATATATAGATAGATCAAAAGTTCCACAAATTTTCTCCAGAATAATTTTCGGGCCAGTTATCAGAGGGTGAGCTCATTCTGGGAGGGGTTAGTAGCATTCCCTCAGCCATGTCGACCAACAAACTCGGCATGGAGAATATGGCTTCCTCGTCTACAAATTCAGTTTCATACGAAGGAGCAACGACATTATCATCGTAACCACCACCCTCGGTGTTATCAGACTGAGCTACTGTATTAACGTTGCTGTGGCTGGCTTCGGGCTTCATGAGTTCAGCTGCAGCGATGGCTGCGGTGCGGATGTCCGCAGGGGATTTGGACGCGGGAACCGGATACTTGCCAATTGAGTCCGGGAAGTTGAGAACCGCTTCGCCGCCTTTCAGGGCCAGCGCCGCCACGTCGTAAGCAGCGGCGGCCATCTCCGGCGTGGGGAACGTGCCCAGCCATATGCGGTTGGTCTTACGTGGCTCACGGATTTCAGTAACCCATTTTCCTCCGCGGCATCGGATTCCATGGTACAGTGGATGTCTCTTTGATGAAGATGAGGAGGAAGCCATGTTGAGTGGTGTTATCTGCAGAGAAAGCAAAGGAAAACGGGGATTTTGGCACGTGGGGTAATGAGAAAGGAAAAGGATCGATGCAGACTAGGCAAAAGAAGGAGGGTAGGTAGGTGTAGAGGGGAATGGAATTTGGAAGTTGTTGCTTGGTATATTCAGTAGTTTATTTGGAGGATATTTGCGAGAGGAATAGGGTCAACTATATTCATAGTATCATGTCCATAGGTAATGACATAATAAGACATTTGGTGGTATATGTGTTTTAAGATGCATGCATGAATACCTCGTTTCTATTCTAGCTTGTTTAAATACATGGAGAAAGGAAGGGGTTGGGATTGTGGGAGTGAACATGAGACAATTATAGCATACAAAAGTGAAACCGTGGCAACTTCGCGGCATAACTGAGTGAGAGTGGGGATTAGTTTTGTTGGTACTTCAAAACGGTGGCTCATAGCTGGGCTCCATTGGTTAAGGTTTTGGAGAAAAGGCACTAGAAATTAAAAACTATACAGTAGTAGAGAATGATAACGACAAGTAAAGACAAGTAAGTTCACTTGAGAACTCACTAATCTGAATTTTTTTGTGGTGTTTCATAAATATAAAGCAGTTGGATGGTGTAGATGATGCGTACGACACACTGGATAACTGCAGCGAGTTTAGTTTTTAATTTCATCAAGACCTTAATGTCACATCTTCATTTCCTTTTCCCAAATAGCTGGTCACTCGAATGTATGCATTATTCGCTCACTCTTCTACTTATTTCTTCCTAAATAACCACCAAAATCAACATCCACGTATATCTTAATATTTACAAGAAAATAGCACAGCACAGGGTTTAGTAAGTTTTTATAGATTCCATGAAATTTCAATTTCAAATTTTTGATATTTGCAAATTTCTTCTATTACTTTTTAATTATTTTTTATTCAAGTGCTCTATTGTTTGAGTTAATTTAAAAAAAAAATTAAAGAATAAAAATTTACTAATACTTATTAAGATATAATTAAAGAACTTAAGTTGAGTTCAAATAAAGAACTATAAAACAAGAATCAGAACACAAATTACTCAAAATAAAGAAAAATTATCAAATTTGATTATCCAGTTTTCCTTATCTGTTGTACAACTATGTCATAATTGCTTTTTTCCTTTTTTGTCTCAGCTGCATTTTGTTATAAAATTTTATTTGCTGTAACTTTTCAATTATTCTTTTAGGTTGTATAGATATCGTGTTATATGTACCTTTTTTATTATTTCTTTTTTTCATCTTTCATTTTTTAGGATTCAAAGGTTGTATAAATATTCCCCTTTGATTGATCAAAGAATATGACAGAAAAGAATTATTTTTATTACATTTGTCTCTGAGTCTCCCTTTCTCTATCTTTGTATTTTTCTTTTAAGGTATCAGAGCTCCTCATTGGAGTTCTGCTTATTCCTCAATCAAAATGTTCGATGTCACACCAACACTTGACCCCTGTCTTGATCCCTCTAGTTCATACCATATATACCCTAGTGAAAACCCAAATTTTGTCTATGTCACCCCAATCCTAAATGGCAGCAATTAACATTCATAGTCCTGTTCCATACGAATGACCCTAGTCTCCAAAAACAAGATGGCTTTCTTGAATGGAACTATATATGTACCAGCTCCCACTGATCGTATTTATCTCTCTTGGGAGCATTGCAACACTCTCATTATCTCGTGGCTGCTAAATTCGTTGTCACCACCCATTGCTCAGAGCGTCATTTTCCTTGACCGCGCTATAGATATCTGGACAGACCTTAAAGAAAGGTTCTCTAAAAGTGATCTACTCTGAATAGCAGAGCTCCAAGAGGACATTTACAATCTCCAGCAAGACTCACGCTCAATATCTGACTACTACACAACACTGAGGTCTCTTTGGGAAGAACTCGATAACTTTCAACTCTTCCCCGTTTGTACATGCTCAGCCAAAGTCTACCATCAACAAGATTTTATAATTCGTTTTCTGAAAGGCCTTGATGACCACTTTGTCATTGTTCGTTCGCAAATCCTTTTGATGGATCCTCTGTTGGGAATTTTTAGGATTTTGTATATGTATATTTCTGATATATCATGTGAGTATATTTCTATTCATGTATTCTGTGTATATATAAAGTAAAAATATTACAAAATATCAAATATCAATAATATCTCAATTATAACTGCCTAAATCAAAATAATAACCTAATATCTTTTTACTTTCTCTCTTAAAAGATAATAAAATCTCTTAATACCTAATTTAAATAAAAGATAATAAAGTAATATTCCCAACATTCCTCCTTACTTTAATATCTATTTATTTGAATTTAATTTTTTTCTTTTATTTTGCTTATAATTTTTTCTCCTTTTTTGTTTGTACTTCTTGTCATCTTCCTTTTTGTATGGGATGACATCTTTGTTCAACTTCATTTTCTTCATCACAGTATTTCTTCTTTTATCAACTTCATCTTATTTGTTTCTTTCAAACTTCTTCATAGTAGTACCGTTGACTCTTTGATGGACGTTGAAAATGGTTTCTTCATCTACATCTTTATTTTCCTCCTTAACATCAAGTTCTTTCAAGAAATATTCTTCATTATTTTTCTTTGACTTTTCTTTTATATCTTCGTTTGTAATCAACTTTTCTTTCATCAAATCTAAATTGAAACGTTTTCCTTTCATATGAACTTTGAATATTTCCAAGTTATTTGTATCTTTAATCACACAAAGTTTGTGTTCAAAAGACACCTTATAACTTTTCTCCAATAATTGAGTAATACTTAACAAATTATGATTAATATCAGGAACATATAAAACATCAAAAATTAATTTGATACCTGAATGACTATTAACTGCAATTATTCTCGTACCTTTCACATCCATTTGTTCTTCATTACCAATTATCACTTTAGAAATATATGATTCGTTGAGCTCTTTAAAAAGTTCTCGATCATTAGTCATGTGGTTTGTACAACCACTGTCTATAAGTCAACCTGTGGATTTGTTGATTATAGAGCATGTTGATGCAAGGAGAAGTTCTCCTTCTACTCCATCCTCTATAACTTGAAGAAGTTCCCCTTCTACTCCATCCTCTATAATCTTGACGACTTCTTCTGGTTGTGATTTTCATATCTTTTTTATATGTCTCAATTGACCACATTTTCGACATTTCACATCAGGCCTCCACCAACACTTGTTGGATGTGTGATTATTTTTCTTACAATAAGGACAAACAGAAAAGACTCGTGATTTTGTATCTTTGTTGTTCTTGGCTTGGAGAGAACCTCCATCATGATATAGTAAAGAACCTTCACCAACAACATGGTTTCCTCTTATCAATCTTCGTTGTTCTTGCGCTTGTAAAGCATGTAGCACTTCTTGAATTTTCTCGTCCCCTTCATATTGATCTTTCAAATAATCCCAAATTTCTTTGGGTGAATTTAGCGTTATGATTCTGGTGAGGATCATTTGTGAAATACCAGCAAACAGACATGATTTATTTTTTGCCTTTCTCATTTTTCTTTCTCTGTGAAATTTCATTTGAACTATGATGGAATTTTCAGGTAGCGGATCAACAATATAACCATCTTCCACAACTTTCCATACATCCAATCCTTTAAGAAAGAATTGCATTCTCACAGCCCATAAGTCATAACTTTCGCTATTAAAAACTAGAATAACGGCTTGTGAAAATTTTCTTTCTCCTTCCATTGTATCGAACCAAAGCTCTGATACCACTGTTGAGAATTTTTAGAGTTTTATATATGTGTATTTCGATATATCATGTGGGTATATTTCTATTTATGTACTTTATGTATATATAAAGTAAAAATATTACAAAATATCAAATATCAATAATATCTCAATCATAACTGCCTAAATCAAAATAATAATCTAATATCTTTTTACCTTCTCTCTTAAAAGATAATAAAATCTCTTAATACCTAATTTAAATAAAAGATAATAAAGTAATATTCCCAACATCCTCTTCCATCCATAAACCGTGTTTTTTCCATGATTATTCAACAGGAAAGACAACACTCAACACGGGCACCCATTGAGGAACCAAACGCCTTCGTAACGTCGGGCAATCATCCTATGGCAAAGGACACGGTGGGGGCAGCCCTAGCGGACCACCTGGCGGCAACAATGGCACTAGTGGCTCCAACAAACGATGCATCAATTGTGGTCGAACTAGGCACACCGTGGAGGTCTGTTATCCCAAGAATAGGTATCCCCCTAGTCACCCACGATACCCAAGACATCCACGATTCCATAATCGTGATAATTCATCCTCGTCTGCTGTCGTCAACAGCGCCGCACAAAAAAGGGGAAACAATGAACCTTTCTTTTGTCACTCTGGACAACTCCAATGGGTCAAGCTTCAGTCTAACTAGGGCTCAATATCAAAGCCTTCTTGGCCTCCTACAATATCAAAGCCTTCTTGTCCGTGATTTCCTCTCAACCCAAACATGTCAATATTTCACAAGTGACCAAATCTAAACCACCTAACTCCACTGATATGCATTTTGGTATCAGTTTTGTTCTCTGCACCAGTACCAACCCATATTCTTTGTCCAACATACATACTAAGTCCACTGTTCCTGACACTCACACATTTAATAATGTTTCTTGGATTGTTGACTCAGGGGCTACTGATCACATTACCTGCTCTTTAAATAATTTTTCAATTCAAAAATTAAACCTGTACACATTAATTTACCCAATGGTTCCATGGTTGTTGCTCATATCTCTGGCACTGTTCAACTATCTCCACATTGCATTGTTCATGATGTCCTTTATGTGCCAAACTTCAGATTTAATCTCCTTTCAATTGCCAAGCTTTTATCTTCACTTAAATACACTCTCACTTTTTCTAATTCTCATTGTTAAATACAGGAAATGAAGTCATTGAAGATTATTGGTTTGGCTAAATTGAAGCATGGATTCTACCACTTGGAGATCAACAAGGATAGTAGTCATGTCTTTCCCAAAGTTTCGTTCATCAATAATTTTTCCACACCACCCATTACCAACACCAACCTTTGACATTTTAGGTTAGGACACCTCTCCGAAAACCGTCTCAATGTCCTTCATACTAATTTTCCTTTTATTTCTAAGCATGTTGAAGAGAATTGTGATGTTTGTCACTTAGCTAAGCAAAAAAGGTTGTCATATTCTCCCAGTTCCAATAGAGCTTCCAAAGTTTTCGATTTAATTCATTTAGACATTTGGGGTCCTTTTTCTCAATCCTCCATTCATGGTCACAAATATTTCTTAATTATTGTGGATGATTTCAGCCGTTACACATGGATTGTGCTCCTAAAATCTAAAGCTGAAGTTAAAACAAATGTTCAAAATTTTATTATCTTAATTGAAAATCAATTCAACATAACCATTAAATGTGTTCGGTCTAACAATGGTTCGGAATTCTTTCAACATGATTTTTTCTCTTCCAAAGGAATTTTTCATCAAACTAGTTGTGTATATACACCCCAACAAAATGGGCGCGTTGAAAGAAAACACCAACACATCCTAAATGTAGCTAGAGCCCTTATGTTTCAATCTCAACTTCCAAAATATTATTGGTCATATGCCATAAAACATGTTATTTATCTTATAAATGGCATTTCATCCCCTGTTATTAATAATCAAACCCCTTTAATATTGTTACATAAACAAAATCCAAATTTTTCCATGTTAAAAGTTTTTGCAAAAAATTTGATACATGTACTAGACATGGTGTTTTTTTGGGATTTGAAACTGGAACAAAAGGGTATGTTATTTTAGATTTAAATAATAGGGAATTTTTTGTTTCTCGCAATGTTTTGTTCAATGAGTTGGTGTTTCCTTTTACAAAATTAAACCATCAGACTACTCACCAAAGCCCACTACAGCCCAACAACTCTCCTGTTCCTACCATTAGTTTCTTTAATTACACCACTCTCACCATTCAACCAAACACTAAACCCAGTGGCGGATCTTAACCATTGATCTTGGGGGGCAAATAATATATTATTAATAAATAAATATAAAAGGAAGAAAGAAGATGAAAGAGTGAAAAGATAAAATTGTATATATATACTTAAATATATTAAATGATCATTAAGTTTGAGGGGAACAAAATCATAAATTACATGAGAGTTACAAAAATGAGGATGGGCTGAGAGGATAAAATTGTAAATATACAAGAAAATATATTAAATGTTCATTAAGTTTGGGGGAGCCAAAATCATAAATTACATGGGAGTTACAAAACTTTAGGGGGGTCACGACCCCGCTCAGCTCCCACGAAGATCCACCACTGACTGAACCCTCACGCCCTTCTGACAATGTTTCTCTTCCTCTTACCCTGTCACCCCCTTCCTCCCCAAGCTTCCATATGCCTTCATCTAATAGCACCCCAAGCCCGTCAACCTCATCCCCACCTCTGACACTAGCACCAAAACCCCAACCAACCCATCGCTCCGCTCGCTCCCATCACTGTCCCACCTACCTTGCTGACTACCAATGTCATGCTTGCTCCAACGTTCCAATCCAGGCTTCAACAAAGTCTAACCAATCATCTCCAAAGATTTCCTACCCTATTCAAAGTTCTATCGATTACTCTCGCATCTCTCCTTCACATTCTCATTTTTTGATGAACCTATCCTCTGAGCAAGAACCAACCACCTTTGTTGGAAGGAGGCCATGAAAGCTGAGATTCAAGCCTTAGTCCAAAATCAGACCTCGGATATTGTCCAAATGTCACCCAATGTGCAGCCAATCGGGTGCAAATGGGTGTATAAAATTAAGCGTGGTCCAGATGGTTTAATTGAGCACTATAAGGCACATTTAGTAGCCAAAGGCTACTCTCAAATTGAGGGCATTGATTTTCTCAAAATTTTCAGTCCGAATGTGAAAATGAGCACCATTCGAGTTCTCCTGACAATGGCTTCCATCAACCATTGACACATACAACAACTTGACGTCAACAATGCTTTTCTTTATGGGAACCTTACAGAGGATGTATACATAATCATCCCTCCAGCCCTCCATGGATATAATTCCTCTCAATGTTGCAAGTTAAAGCAATCATTGTATGGGCTGAAACAAGCAAGCCGCAAATGGTTCGAGAAGCTGTCCAACCTGCTACTTTCATGTGGATACCAGCAAGCTCATGCTGATCACAACCTTTTCACTAAGGCATCAGGTTCTACTTTCACAGCCTTAATTATTTATATGGATGACATTGTTCTAGCTGGGAACTCACTTGCTGAAATTTATAACATCAAATGTATCCTCAGCTCTAAATTTCATATCAGGGACTTAGGCAAACTAAAATATTTCTTGGGGATCGAGGTGGCTCATTCTTCATTTGGTATTTCACTCTGTCAAAGGAAATATTGTTTAGACTTAATTCAAGACGTTGGTCTTATAAGTTTGAAATCATGTTCCACACTGATGGACAACTCTCTTAGCCTTCATCAGGATTCCAGCAAGCCCTTTGCTCATCCCTTACCATATAGACGCTTGGTTGGCCGACTAATCTATCTTACAAGTACCCGTCTGGACATTGTCTTTGCCACTCAACAATTGAGTCAATTCATGGTTGCCTCCACTCACTCTCATTTTCACGCAGCCCTGAGAATTATTCGTTATCTAAAGAGTTCTCCTGGGAAGGGTCTCTTCTTTAGTAGGTCCTCTTCTTTTCAATTGTCTGGTTTCAGCAATGTCGACTGGGCCACATGCGTTGACACCCATCGTTCTATCAATGGTTATTGTTCCTTTATTGGCAGCTCCCTGGTTTCATGGAAAACTAAGAAACAATCCACTATCTCTAGATCATCTGCTGAGGCGGAATATAGAGCTCTGGCCTCAGCAACTTATGAGCTCTAATGGCTATTCTACTTGCTTCAAGATTTACTGATTTCTCTTCCACGACGTGTTGTCTTATACTGTGACAGTCAAAGTGCACTTTACATTGATGCAAATCCTGTGTTTCATGAAAGGATCAAACCACTACAAAAAAAACCTATTATCTATAAAATATTACCTACGGATAAAAATCCGTAGGTAAATTGTACATTACATACAGATATTACCTACGGAATTCTATCTGTGGGTAATTATCCATTACCTACGGATATTGTCCGTAGATAATGTCATCCGTGGATAATTCTATAGGTAAATTATATCAAATTAAAATACATTGTATGTAAGTTATACATTACCTACGGATATTATCCGTAGGTAATGTCGTCTGTGGGTAATTTTGTAGGTAAATTAAATCAAATTAAAAGAATTGTGACTGACAAGATTCGAACTTAATACCTTAAAGTTAAAAAATGATATTCCAACCACTAAATTACTAAGATTTTTTTAATAATAACTTACAAATCAGTTATATTTATTTATAAATAAATGTATATCCATGTAAATATATAAATATGTAAATATATAAATATATCAAAATATATAAATGTATAAATATATAAATGTATAAATATATAAATATATATAAATATATTTGTATTTATATATTTGATATTTATATTATATATATATATATAAATACACGGATAAATATAAATATAATTTATTTTTAAGTTATTATCAGAATATCCTAATAGTTTAGTGGTTGGAGTATCGATCTCCAAATATCATATAAAGGGGAGGGGGCTCTAGGTAATAACAAAAAATAAATAGGGGGTTGTAGTAAATAAAAATATTTTGTTCAAGCGAGTGCATTATCTACGAATTATAATCTATAAGTAACTACTTACGGATAATTACCCACGGATGGTATTACCTATGGACAGTAATTCCGTAGGTAAATTACCTACGATCGGATTACCTACAGATTTCCTACGGATAAATTACCTACGACCAGATTACATACAGATTTCCTATGGAAAAATATCCGTAGGTAAAATGACATTAGCTACGGATTTTTGTCATTACCTACGGATTTTGGCCGTAGATAATAGACTTTTTTTTGTAATGAATACCTGGAAATTGATTGTCACTTGGTTCAGGAAAAGCTACTTTCTGGTCTTATGCACCTTCTTCCGATTTCTTCATCACATCAGCTCGCTGACATGTTTACCAAAGCTCTACCTCTCAAACCGTTTCGATCAAATCTTTCCAAGTTTGAGCTTCATAACATGTTTGAACCTCCCGCTTGTAGGGGGCTAAAAGAAGAATCAAAGCACAAATTAATTAAAATAAAAGAAGATTATCAAACTTGATTGTACAGTCTTCCTTATCCGTTGTACAACTATACCATAGTTGTCATCTTCCTTTTTTTGTCTCTGTTGCATTTTGTTATAGAATTTGATGTGTTGTAACTTTTCAATTATTCTTTTAAGGTATATAGATGTCGTGTTGTATGTACTTTTTCTGTTATTCCTTTTTGTTATCTTTCATTCTTTAGGGTACACAAATTGTATAAATATCCTCTTTCATTGATAAAAGAATATGACCTCTTTCATTGATAAAAGAATATGACAGAAAAAAATTATTTTCATTATATTTTTCTCCTAGCTTCCTTTCTCTATTTTTGTGTTTTTCTTTTAAATTAGGTGGTTATGATTTGTATAAGGTCATTAGAGGGATTTAGAGTTTAAATCATAATTATTTAAAATTGATTTAAAATTTGAGCAGAATTATTTATATAAATAATTTTATTTTAATTTTAAATAATTGTTTTCATTTTTAAATAATTCAAATATAAAATTTATAATAAAATATTTATTTTTAGTCCAAAGTCACTCGTATCGAGAGATATTCTGATCGGATTGAAAGAAGGTGATGGTTTAGGAATGATAGTTGAGTTGTTGAAATCAAACACACCGCAATTTTGTCGAAGGAATACTAGTAGAGGTTGTAGATATACCTCGAGGATGTTTTCACCTGTAAATCTAACAAAATATTTGGTATGTGCATGTTAGAAGTTTAATTACCAGCATAAGATATCAAAACACTACAAGAAATTTTGATATTACCGACGGTCAAAATCCGTCGATAATAACAAAAATCCGTCGGTAATATCCATTTACCGACGGATTTTCGACGGCCAAAAATCCGTCGGAAATTTGGTTGTCGGTAAATATTACCGACGGATTTAATAGTCCGTCGGTAATTACCGACGGATATATCCGTCGCTAAATGTTTGACAAAATTACCGAACGGACAAGAATCCGTCGGTAATATTTTTATTATTTATTAAATATTTTACTTATATAGATTATTTATTTTATAGAATACACCTTGTCTTTATATTTTTATTATTTATTATTAATTATTTTTCCCTATTACAATTTTATAGGCTTCAATTATTATCAGATTAAGAGAATTGTCATTGGCAGGATTCAAACCCAAGTACCTTAGAGTTAGAGGCTGATACTCCAACCACTAAGCTACCAGAATTTTTCGATAATAATTTACAAATAAATTATATTTATATACAAATATATTTATATACAAATATATTTTAATATATTTATATATTTATATATTTATATATTTATATATTTATATATATATATATATATATATATATATATATTATATATATATATATATATATATATATATATATATATTATATATATATATATATATATATATATATATATATATATATATATATTTATATATATATATATATATTATATATATATATATATTTATATATATATATATATATTATATATATATATATATATATATATATTTATATATATATATATATTTATATATTTATATATTTATATATTTATATATTTATATATTTATATATTTATATATTTATATATTTATATATTTATATATTTATATATTTATATACAATTAAATATTTTTATATGTTTTTATATATTTTTATATATTTATATATAATTAAATATTTATTTTTTAAAATTATTTAATTTAAGAAATTATTATAAATTAATCTAATTTTGATTAAATGAAATTATTAAATAAAAAATATTAAATTTTTTTAATTAGTTGAATATTTACTAATTGATAATTTACTGAACGGAAATATCCATCGGTAATTTACTGAGATGAATTTACTCGATGGAAATATCCGTCAGTAATTAATTATTAATTTATCGACGGATTTACCGTAAATTCATTATTAATTTATCGACTGATTTACCGTAAATTCATTTGTCAATTACAGATGGATTTATCGACGGATATATCCGTCGGTAACTAATTATTATTTTACCGACGGATATATCCTTTGGTAAGATCAAATTCCACAAATATTTTATATTCATCGGTAATTTCCGTCGGTAATAATTATTTTCCGACGGATACAAATCCGTCGGTAAATATCCGATCAGTAATACGCGATTTTCTTGTAGTGAAACGAGCATTCAAATATATTATATTATATTAACAAGATGAATATATAAAAAATACATAAATTCATAATAAAAAATACAATATAATTTTATAATTATTACATATTAATGACATTTTGTAATAAAATTATTTATTTTTTAAGAACCGTCATATTTTTTTCAAGTAAAAAAAAATAAAAATATCATAGAGATATATAAAATTATGTATTTAAATTTTTATTTTACAAATTAATTTTATAAAAATGAATTATACTTCACGTGACTTTTTAATATACTATCGATTATCAAAATGAGTGATTTAATCTAATTATAATTAGTTGTTAACATAATTTAATTTATATTTTAAAATAAATTATAATTTTTTATTTAGTTTAACTTTATCTTATCATTATCAGATAAAATTTGATTTAATTAAAAATTTAAAATAAAATATATCTATATAAAAATAATTAATTCAAAAAAATATTTTTTTTAATTTAAATTATATTAATACAATTTTTACCTTAATTAATAATTAAATATATAAATAATAAAATAATTGATTCATTTATTCTCAAAATAATATATTTATTTATCATTGTTATCAATTTTTTTAGTAATTTAATAATTTAAAATAATAATTTATCTTAATTATTAAATAATCAATTATGTAATTGTTAGAATTTTTTCTTATAAGTAGAATTTTTATTAAATTAATTTATAATATATATATATATATATATATATATATATTAATAAAATAATTTATTTCTATTTCTATTTAAAAATAATTATTATTTAATAAAATGAATCACAATTATGAATGATCTTATCCAAGCCTATTTAAATTATGATTTAATTTTTATTATAAATTTATTTACAGATATACTAATTTTTTTACATACTGAACTTAAAAATGCAAAATAATCTCTCACCCTCTTTCTCAGTCATAACATTAAAAATATCATGATAATATTAAAAAAAGAAAATATGCTCTAATATCACAACAAATCAGTTATTAAAATTATCTACCACATCAAATTTTGATTTAGTATAATTTTTATTATTTTTTAATGAGTCAAACTGATTTCAAAAATAAATATTATATTATCCAAGTAGTGATTATTCTTATTAATAGAAATATTATGTGTTCATTGAATATTATTATCTTGTCATGCTTTTGAGACTGGTGGATCTTATGAACTTATTTTCTTTATAACGGTAGGGCCAATTAATCACTGAGATCAAAGGTAATCTCCATAGTTGACTCATGCACAACATAAGTCTTATTTTATTCATCTGAATTAAATATTGAGCAACTACTTATATGTTAATATATCAACCACTATCACATGTACTATTAACATAGAAGATATAATAATTACATAATCATAAAGCATAATATATCACATAAAAAATAAAATATAATAAAGTATTTTCCTTCAATTTTTTAGTGTAATTAATCTATTCCCCGAATTGTAACTTCATAGCACTGAAAATTAGAGAAACTCCATCATCAAAATTATTTTATAATTACATGCATCAAACGATACTTATCTTTTAATTGATTGATAATATACAATATTATATATATTCAGTGTAAAAATTTGAAACTCTTACTTTTAAACTAAATAAATGAGTTTTGAAAATTAAATTGTAATAAAATTTATTTTATTACAAACTCTCAATAATTCTGTTTACTATTTTTTTTTATAATCTACGTATTTTATTGGTGAGGGGTTCCAATAGAATAATCCAATTAGGATTTCTCAATTTAAAAAACCTTAATGATGAGATGCTCCTTTTTTTTATACAGAAATTTTATTATTGGAATTTAGAATTCACACTATTAGACTTAGATCTTATATAGTGTTAAAATGTTTGAATTTTAGTTTTTTGATAAATTCTATTTTTTTTTATTTAAGACATTACTCAAATTAAAAAAACTCTACATTTTTTTTTTAGTCTTCTAATCAGAAAAGTATCATTAATTATATAACAGTTTTTTAAACTTTTGATATTATTTAAAATAAGTTAATGATGATTTCTACTTGGTCAACCTTTTCAATTGTTTGCTAAAATTCCAACTAATTAACAGTAACAATGATATAAAAAGTAAAATTATTTGCCCTAGAATTTTGCAAACTATTCTTGGACTTGGTTGGAGCCCAAATCAGTATGTAACCCTGATGGATCGGATGGTTAGTGTCCAATGGCCCAATCATACAAGGTCAAACAATAGGGAATACTATTTAGATATACATTTGGTTAACGTTACATGTTTTTAGGATTAATTTTTAATTTTTAATTTTCAAATTAAGTAAAATAATAATAAGAGAATGGAATATAATTAAGGTTATAAACTAAAATTCCTCATTAAAATATAATTTATCCACTCTTTTAGTACGGGAATAAAAATTATATAAACAAAAAGAATATAACTTTTGTAGAAGTAAAAGATACCAAAATTTTATAACCTATTACCTAATATAAGATTAAACATTCTCATCTTCCTATTTTCATAAATGCAAAGAAAAAAAAAGTGAAACAATACAAGGATTAATGTTCCAAATTCAAATTTGACAAATAATAGTAGATCAGAAATCATTCCGCGAAAAATATTGACTTCCTTCATTTGTTTGTTAAAACTTGTGTCATTATATTAATATTTTAAATATTTTATTATTAAATTATTATTTTTACATAATATTTTACCAAATTAATCCACCAAAAGCACGAGTCTTAATAATATGGATTAATTTTAAAATAAAAACTCTAAAAGAAATATAAGGTTGTAATATTACTATATTTATCCTTTCGAAAGACTAAATTGGTAGCAAAATAAATCTTTCATAGACTAGTTCATTATTTGAAGACAAAATTTTTAATTACTTGTTTGGGACTTCAATTTTGAAAAAAGAAATCGGAGGTGGAATTTTTTTTTATAATAAACATTTTAATTCAAAAATGAAAATATCATTCGTGTCGTTTTTTTCCAAATTCCACACACACAAAAAATTGTGTGTTTATGTTAGTAAAAAAATTAATCAGATAGTTTTTTTCACATATTTACGAATTCTAGGAAGAAAACACATTAAAAAAACTTTAATTTATTAAATTTTAAATGAAATTAATAAAATGGAAAATAAACACATATTTAACATTTTAAAGTTTATTTTCTTATAAAAATACAGTTATGCTAAACATCAAACTGAAGGAGATGTTTGATTAATAAATGAAGTAATTATAATAAAAACGATGATGTTTAAATTGGATTTTTATAATAAATTCTTCAAGGAGACTGATTTCAATTTATTCTCAACATTTATTTATTATTTTTTAAAATATTTGCAATAAACTTTTCATTTATTTATTTATTTTCATTTATGAATCTCTCATGTCTCAGGTCGACTGGAGCTTTAATAAGGGTTGTTAGCTGTGTTTTCAAATAGTTGGCTGAAAAATTCAATCTTTCAAAATCATCTAGACCTTTCAGGAGTTAGCCAAAATGTTCTAGTTACAATAAATAATAAACTTAACTTTACAAACCTATTTTCAAAGGAATTTTACAAATTGGTAAGAATCTTGAAAATTAATTTTAAGATTAAATAATATATTATTAATAAATAAATATAAAAAGATAAAAAATAAAATAATAATACATAAATTTATGAATATATTAATAAATATATTTAATAATTATTAAGTTTGAAAACTCTACCACCACTCATAAGAAAGTTACAAAATTATTCATTTTAACGAAACAAAAATTAAAGAAAATATCAACTGTTAAAAACTAAAGTGTTATACAATTTTAAACGTTATTTTAATAATTTTCTTTTACCATAATATAGGTTAAAAAAAACGTGATAAATTGAAGGACCTGGTCGTGGCAAATCTGAATGGAATTTCGTCGATTTTGATTTTATTAGACCAAAACATGGACCCACCAAAAGGTTTATTTGACATTTACACAGAGAAAATAGAAAAATGCAAGTACAACAAAAGATTTTGCAGCAACATTATATATTCAAAGAGAGAAAAAAATATATTTTAATACATAAAAATGTTTACGTATATTTACAGGTCCGTGAACCCTATTTTGTGTGACACTTGTACACTTCTTCTTTTAGTCCAATATGAGAATGTGATTGTGACTTTTAACTACTGAATGTGTTTAACTTATTTACTTAATATTAATTTTTTTAAGACTAAAACCATGGTTAATAACTTGGTTTGGATGAAGATATATTTGAAGTTTAGTTTGCGGTCAAATTTTAAAGTCAATGATTATACAGTGCTCTATAAAACAACTTTTACGGTATCAATCATAAATTACTGCTGTTCAGAGTTTTAAGATACTTGTTAATAAATTTATCACATAAAAAAATTTATGATTAAATAATAAATTAAAATTATTTTACATTATGTTGGCATATAGTTTTTTTTTTAAGTTTTTCAATAAGCCAAAATGACTTACTGGCTCAAAATAAAGTAGCAACTCTTTTAAGTAGGGCTTCATAAATGTGAACCACTAAAGTTGATATAATTATGATTTTTTTTTCGATGTGAAAGAATTAGATAGGATATAGAAAGTCATATATTATAATTTTATTGTGTGTACAACAACTAAAAAGAGGACTTAATAAATTTAGGATGTAAAAGTGAAGCATCAATCTCTGTTATTTTTTTCGCACACGATTATGTGATTCCTATCCTATGTTTTTTTGCAATAAGATTATCATAAAAATACTGATTTTGATTTTACTGGTTTTTAATATATGATTGAAGTCAGTTTTTTTGAAAAAAAAAATCTAATTCAACATCAATAATAAATAATTTAAAAAACAATAATAATATTAACTCCCAATAAATTTTTGTCTAATATTGTTTTTATAAAATTTTGAAGAATTTTTTATTTTCTTATTTTTATTTAATTTTACAAATTTCATAGAGTGCTTTAAAATGAGTTGTTTATCAAAAAAACTTAAGTAAAACACTATTTATTTAAAATAATATTTATTTAATTTTTTTAGATGTTTTCAACTTGAAATAAAGAGAGATAATTAGTTTTTTAAAGTTTGCATAAAATTTCTATTAAAACAAAATCTGAGTTAAATAATGATATGGATTATTTTATCGAGGATATTTTTAATAAAATAACTAACAAAATTTGTTAAATATTATGCCACTCTTGGTTAAAAGATAATTTTTTTTTTAATATTTCAATAAAAAATTCTATTAAAAATATTCTTATATAAATATTTTCAATATTATAGTTTTTATGAACACCAAAGAAAAAAATATATAGTATTTATATTATTGACTTCAGTTTAATCTTTTGATTGACTGCTATTCGATAATTTATAAGCTTTAGTAAGAATAAACTTAATAATGTGAACATTTGAACATGCTATATCATAAATGAGATGTTATATCATAAATGAGAACTCATGACTTGCATATTTGAACTTAAACAAACAATTTAAGGTTGTTTCGAGAGCATGTTCTTGACATTGAAACTACGTACAGTAGATATATCAAGGCAGATATGTCCCTGACAAGGAATTGATGTGAAAGTTTTCATATTAAAATGGTTACTTTTTTATGATTGGAAGAATAAATTATAAAAAATGAAAAAAAAAAATTGATCATTCGAGAAAAACACAATTTTTTCAACTTGGTATTAATTGATTCACAAACCAAATAACCAATAGTCAAACTATGTTATTTAAGTTGTATATCGATTGTTTCGGGCTTCACCTTATCTTTGGCAAATTATTTGATAATAATATATTTATTTGAGAATTTAAGGTTGAGTTTAAAGTTTTATGTTGGGTTGAAATATAAAAATTGAATAATTTATAAGTGAGAAAAATTCATGTTTTAAAATTTTAGGTTGAAGGTACGTAGTGTCATATTCTCTTATATAGTTGACTCATGACCTATTTATAAGAATTTCCTTACTGTTAGTCCTCTTGAAAATATCCAACAATGTCTTAAAACCGATAATTTATCCGGTGACCGGTTCAATTGAATATAGTAAATGAAAGGTCTTTTTTATCAAAAATTTTCCTGATAAGGCTTTTAGGCAAACGAAATGTTTGCACTCGAGGGAGAGGTATACCAATGTGAAAAGGAATCATACTTGAGGGTAAAATGTTGAGAATTCAAGTGTTACATTAGGTAGAAATGGGAAATAAATTATAAATGAGAAATACTCATAAATTGGATCAAAGGTGATGTTATATTCTCTTATATGGTTGACTCATAACTCATTTGTGAGAATCTTCACGTTGTTAGCCCCCTCGAAAAGACCCAATAGTGGTATCAGAACTAATGATTTATCTGACAACTGACTCAATTGAGTACAGTAGGTGAAATGTCTTTGCCTCAAAAGTCTTCCTGATAAAGGTTTCAGGCAAGCGAAATGCTTCCACTCGAGGGGGATGTATACCAATGTGAAAGAGAATTACACTTGAGGGGGAGATGTTGTAAATTCAAGTGTCACATTAGGTAAAAATGAGAAATAACTTATAAGTGAGAAAGATCCATAACTTAATATCTTAAAGGATTTAGGTTGAAGGTGATGTCACATTCTCTTATATAGTTGACTCATGACTCATTTGTGAGAATCTCCACGTTGTTAGTCCCCTCGGAAAGATCCAACAGTAGTATCAGAGCCAATGATTCAGTTGAGTATAATAGGTGAAAGATTTTTGTGTCGAAAGTCTTCTTGATAAGAGTTTCAGGCAAACGAGTTTCATCATCATTAGGTACTCATGGCTAAAAAATGTTTTCGCTCGAAGGAGAAATAGTAAACCAATGATCGGCTCAATTAAGTATAATTATAATATGTGAAAGTTACTTGTATCGAAAACCTTAGACAAACCTTGAGGTTTTAGGTTGAATGATTCATTTATGAAAATCTTTCTATTTTATATCCATAAGAATATCCAAAGTCAACTTTATAAAAATAAAGCAGAATTATTGTTGAATATGGAAAAGAGTACAAAGGCAAAACTTTATTCAGATCCACTTAAGCTAATGAAAGTTGCACGAGTCCCCTTCATTTAACAACTGACTGATACGATGATAACAAGATTACAGTAGTTCGTTTTCAGTTTAACCGAAGTTCGACCATAAAAGTAACATTATTTACAAAATTGTGATGGACGAAACTTCTTTTAAAAAAAAAAAAAATTTTGATGTTCACAATATTATTATCAGTAAGACTCTTATTCTTAATCGATGGAGAGGAAAACCTTTCTTTTACTCTCTCTCCTTGTATCGTGGGATTATGATCTGATTTTTCAACATTTTTCTTTTCCCATTTGCATTAAGTCCCAGAAAACGAAACGAAGAAAAAGGTGGAAGGATTTTTCTACAAATTGTGTATTCCTCTAATGTTTAAGAATGGTCATAGTTTTCTAGAGTATTATTAGATTGTAGTGCATGGGGATAGTTGTCCTATTGTTTTGAATATGATTGCTTCCACAGAAAATATGTGTAGGAATATAAACAGATTCTTTTGACCTAGTAAGAGCTGCTAATGTGTCTCAGATTGGTCACGTCCACAAACAGTGCGGCAGTATAGATTTATGAGTTGAAAGACTTACCCTTTTTGAACTCTCCATTTTCAAAGCATCACGCGTTAAACTAAAAGTTGAATCTTATTTGATAATAGGGTCAACCACAAAAGTCTTCGTAACCTGTAGGGAGGTTGAGGCACCAAAATCATGGAGCACTTCGCATGCGTTCAAAACTTGATGCAAAATAACGCACACACTGAGAGGATCACAAGTTGTATTATATCTTTTATCATCTTGGATTAAAAGGAATATTAGAAATAATTAACTAAAATACTGTAACATAAGCAAAAACTAAGAAAATACCTCAATTTCCTTTATTATTTTTAATTGCTCATACCTTAAGTGTTTTTGGTCACAAACCACACCAGACTACGTACATGGTGAGCACATACCCAGATACTGCTAAGAGTATACTAATCAAATCAGCATAGTAAGAATATGAATAATATATGAGAAAAATGTTGACAAGAGCATCAACTATGAGTGGAGATAATTAACGTTGTGAATCATATATGTGAATAGAATAAAGAGTCCCATTTCAAAAAAAATTAAACAATAACATATAACATACTTTCCATGAATTTAATAACTTAAGAGAGGTGTTCTTGCATCATACTCTTTAACGCATTCCTTTTTCTAAAAATTCTTTAATATTTACAAAAATTTATTAGAAAAATACAGAAATATGGATAAAATTTATTAAGAGATTGGAATTGTACAATTTTTTTTATTTATTTCTGTTATACTTCTGTTGGTAATAAAATATAAAACATGTTTGACCATTTCTATTTAAAATAATTTATACAAATTACTTATGAATAATTTTATTGAAATAATTTACACAAATTACTTATGAATAAATTTATTGTTTTAATGTAGATCTTCTACATATTAGTCGCTTAAAATGGGAGATTTCTTTTATAATTTTAACTATTCTATCTAATTAAATAATTCATATACATCATATCTGAATTAAAATAATATTTTATTCATAAGTCGTTAAACTTTTTTGGAAATGTTGTTACATATGAGCGCGTATTTCTAATGTTTGACATTACTTTAAGAATATGTTAGAGATTAAAATGGTGTGCCAAGCTTAACATAACAAAAATCCATATATAATCATTAAATCCGCATTAAGGACCACCATAAAATAGTTTAATGTATATTAAGTCTACAGGGAGTTCCACTCCAACTTTCTAATCAAACCTAGTCGTGACTCCGAGGGTGAATTATTTTATGTTAACTTTTATTATTATGGTATCATGTTTAAACTTGGTATTCCTTTGTATTTCTATGAAGTTTATATAATATTTATAATAAAATAAATAAATACAAACTTTAAAGATAACACATACACTCAACAAAATCTTACATGCGGTGGCTCACTTTCAATGTCAGGAAGAATTCTTTGATTCTGTTGTTCGTGGATAATTGTTTGTCTTTACGGAGGATCTAGATGAATCATATTCAGGACATTTTAGTAAAATATCTTTCCAATTTTTATAAATGGTTTTTTATCACTATCATCTTAAACTAAATGTTCTTAGAAAATGAATAAATATAACTCAAAAAGAAAATATACATCATTTTGTTAATATCTATATATTTATATTAAAATATAATATATGTTTTACACAATAATTATATCAATATTTCTGCTTAATACAATTAAAATATTTTATTTCATTTTCATATAATATTAATTATTCTGTTAATTTTTTAATTGTAATGATAAAAGATAATTAGTTTTATATTATGTAAAACATTAAATGATATGTATACTTATATGTATAAGTTTAATTGTAGAAAAAATCATTTTCATAAAAATTAATAATTAATCATAAATATTTATTATCAAAATAATTAGGTTCACACGGCACATAAAATAATTATTTATCTAGTAGTGATAATTAAAAATTTAATAAAATAAACAATAATTCATTAAAAAAATATTTTAATTATAATAAATATAAATATTTATAATAATTATTGAATAAAAAATATGTTTTACTTTGAAATTAAATATAACTCGAACGTTTATATATATATATATATATATATATATATATATATATATATATATATATATATAACTAAATTGATAATTATTAATTTTCTCTTTTATTCTTGAAAGTAAGGACGTCTCTTTTTTTTCTGTCTTTATATATATTTATTAATACATGTTACAATGTTTAAACAATTATATAAGAAACTTATTTTTTTTAGCGTCAGAATTATAATATATGAGGAATGGTACATGATAATCCATAGTGAAAAAAAAACATTACACAACTCAATTTATTACAATAATAATTATAAAAAAATATGAAAAAAATGATTTTAAATTATTATTATATTTTTAAATAAAGTTGATGTATGGGTGTTTATGAAATAGAGGTTGTCAACTTTTTTTTATTTTTTTATTTTTTGTGATATGGGCTGACAGAAGTTAAGCCGAAAAGAGCGGATCCTCACTCCACTGCTAGTGCGAGAGAATCCTTGTAGCGTGTGAAACCTAATTTGGACTCAGTATCATCCTTCTGCATAATGGACCCACAACTCAACACCGAACCATGGTTGCAATGCAATCACTGAAACATTACACGTCTCAATTTTCTCGAGTATCAGAATCCAAAATTTCCATATTTACAATTCTCCTTTTTCGCGTCATATGCAAAGTGATATTTTCAATTCCAATTTCTAATCTAATTCCTACTATTAAATGCCGACATGGCATTCCTTCACATCAATATTGTTTTTTAGAACCAAAAAAGTTGAACTGTAGCTATCCAAAAATAAAACATCTTCTTGTTTCGATTAGTGTAATCTTACCAAAAAACATTCCGCTATCCATCAATCCAATACAGTGGATTAATAACACTAGAAAAAGAAGAAAAAAAAAATAAATCTGTTGAGAGTTCAAATCATTTTACTCATTTGTACTGGTATGACCCATTCAGTGTTTTATTTTACATTTCGTGCAAGTTCAGTGCGTTTTGGCGTCTCACCCCCCATTGTGTGTTAGCAGCGGGCCTAATGGTGACTTAGTATATCATATATGATATATGCTATTGGTCGGTCATAAACGGAGGCTTGAAATTGAAAAAAGGGAAAAAAGAACAAAAAACAAATTTCAAGAGTTTGAGTTGGTAAATAGCTTCAGTGCTGTGTCGACCCTATTTGTGGCCGTGTGTAATACTCCTTATGTGGATGGAACATTCCAAATTTACTAGTGCAAACCCTCCCTTATAAACCCCAGTTGCTTACACTCTTGCAAAGTGCAACGATTCGGCACGACCACAGCCTTTAACTCTAATTCCTCTCTTTCTTTCTTTGCTTTGTCTCTTGTGAGAAACTGTCAAAGAAACGATGCACAAGTTATCACCAACCTCAAATTTCTGTGAAAGGAATGAGGGCCACCCAAATGTATCCAATCCCCAATTACAAGATGAGACCAACATGTTCACCACTTTGATTCCCAAATCCCCAACATGTCAACACCATCATCACCAAACACAAAATCCCCACAAAACCCATTTGTCCCTGGCCCTCACCGAAGCCAAGTGCATTTCCAACATATCCTTCTCCATGATCCTTACTGGCCTACTACTCTATTTCCGCTCCATGATCTCCATGCTCTTCCTCGGCCACCTCGGAGAACTCGCTCTTGCAGGTGGCTCCTTGGCCATCGGATTCGCCAACATCACTGGCTACTCTGTTCTTTCTGGCCTCGCCATGGGAATGGAACCCATCTGCGGTCAAGCCTTCGGAGCCAAAAGGTTCAAACTTATCGGCCTCACCATGCAGAGAACCGTGCTACTTCTTCTCCTCACTTCGCTTTTCATCTCATTCTTTTGGCTCAACATCAAGAAACTATTACTCCTATGTGGCCAAGAAGAAGACATAGCGAATGAGGCTCAATTCTATATATATTACTCTCTCCCTGATCTTATATTACAATCGCTGCTGCACCCTCTACGAATCTACCTTCGAAGCCAATCAATAACGCTTCCTCTCACGTGCTGCGCCGCTCTCTCCATTCTCCTCCATGTACCCGTCAATTACCTCTTTGTCTGCCTCCTCAACCTCGGAATCAAAGGCATCGCGTTAAGCGCCGTTGTCACAAACTTCAACCTCGTCGCGTCGTTGGTTATTTACGTTGTGGTCTCGGGCACGCACAAGAAAACGTGGCCGCGTATTTCACGGTCATGTATCAAGGAATGGAAAAGGCTATTGAATCTCGCGATTCCGAGTTGCGTTTCCGTTTGTCTGGAATGGTGGTGGTACGAGATAATGATTTTACTATGCGGGTTGTTAGTAAACCCTCATGCGAGTGTTGCCTCCATGGGGGTTTTGATTCAAACCACGGCTTTGATATACATTTTTCCGTCGTCTTTAAGTTTTGGAGTTTCCACGCGTGTTGGAAACGAGTTGGGTGCAGGGAATCCTGGGCGGGCGAGGATTGCGGCGATTGTGGGACTCTGTTTCAGTTTCGTGTTGGGATTCTCTGCTTTGGTGTTCGCGGTTTCGGTGAGAAAGGTTTGGGCGTCGATGTTCACTGGGGATGGAGAAATCCTTGCTTTGACGTCGATGGTGTTGCCTATCATTGGGCTTTGCGAGCTCGGGAACTGTCCCCAAACGACGGTTTGCGGCGTTTTGAGGGGGACGGCGAGGCCGAAATTGGGGGCGAACATAAACTTGGGTTGCTTCTACCTTGTGGGCATGCCTGTTGCGGTGTGGTTGGGGTTCTTTGCAGGGTTTGACTTCAAAGGGCTGTGGTTGGGGATGTTGGCGGCGCAAGGGTCTTGCATGATCACGATGATGTTCGTGTTGGCGCGGACCAATTGGGAGGGTCAAGCGCTGAGAGCTAAGGAACTCACGTCATGTGATTCTAACGAAGAGAAAAAACCAGTGGAAGTGGAAGAGGAAGAGGAAGAAGAAAAAGAGGAGAAAGAGGTTGAACACCAAGTGGCCAAAGGTTTTTTGGGATCATGTGCCACTAAACAAGTCTCTGATTTAATTGTTTGATCGGTAATATGTCTCTATTCATCTCAACACGGTAGTCTCCGAAGGGATTAATGGTTTATTATTTTGAAGCTGATAGATAGAAAGATTATTCTTCTATTGAATTATTTTTTTGTCGGAAAACCAATATTTAGGACAGGAGATATATAGATTAAATTTAAATGTATGATACCTATTTTTTTGTTAAAATTGTTTCTATTCACACATTTGGCTTTGTTGTTAGTTTTGATGAAGGGAAAACAAAGGAAAACATCGTCAAAGACTACTAGTTTTCCTTTCTATTTTCTGTGGTAATGCTACCTTACTCAATTTTGTTGCTTCCGATTAATTTGATTTTGCATGCATGACTTGGTTGCTTTTTATGCTGATCAATTGTAAACGCCAAACCAGCTCCATGTCACCATCTAACCACGTTTTGTAATAAAGTGCTTAAATTATTGGAAACGAATTCCACCTAATTTGCAGGGAATGGATTATCCCTTCCATTTCTTCTATTTGTGAACAAATAGAGATTATATTACCAGGTTTATTGGCATAAACTAACATGCTCACACCATTATTACGATGTCTCTGACATAAGAGTTTTCGCACGTGATAATAATCAAAATGAACACGGTAAAATATATAATATATACTACGCTTGATATCATAAAAGTAGCAAACAATTATACAATATTAACAATATTAAAATTAATATAATATAAAAATATATATATTAACTATATTACTTGCCACCTTTCTAATTAATTTTCATCTTTAACCGAAAATATCTATGAAGATACTTCAACTTTAAGTTAGGAGATTTTGGTAAACAATATAAAAAGTGTACACAGAACTTACTGTTATAAAAAGTGTAAAATAACTTTATCTCATTCTCTTTTGTATAGGTGTATGCACCTAATAAAATTGTTATAACTAAATTAAAATAATAATTTAGAATATGATTTAAGTTAAACTTATTGAGTATCTTGTGAATTAAAATTAGTTTCTTTTTCGCAATATGGATTTTCTATTGTCATACTGAAAATAATTTTTTTTATAACATTGTACTTTTGAATTTGAGAATTTCTTTTAATAAGTTTTTTAAAACTGTTAATAAATGTGCGTTATTTATTCAAATAAATGGGTAGAAATACAATATATTCAGATTTTCGAGAAAACAGTCCATTATAAAAAACTAATTTAAAAGTAGAGGTAGTTGAAATTTGAAACGAAAAAAAAATGATAAAAAAATAACATTAAAAATATTAAAAGTAGATAAGTTGGAATGGAAAAGAAAAGGAAACATACTCTTAACAAAAGAAATTGAAAATATTTAATACTTTAAAATATAAAAATGTAGATAATTATGAGTATTAATAATCACATGTTAGAAAAAGATTGTCTTTCACCCCCAAGAAAATCATCTCCAAATGAAAATATCTATGAAAATAAAAAGGGATTTTAGTTGAAATAGAAAATTAAATATATAATATAAAGATTAAAATATTGTTTTAAAAATAATATAGCATGAGTGTTATTAATTAAGTGGATTTATTCATTATTAGAGGATATTAATAATAACCATTGTACATTGTTTCGGAGCATTTTTAATTTAACATATCCTCCCTTGAAAAACAAATAATTAATTTAACATTTTTTTTAACTCACCCGTGGAGGTTTTTGTGCAATATTATAATTATGTGATTTTTCAAATGAATTTGCAGTCAAAAGTTTAATTATAGAAATACTTCATTTAACAATAATAAAAAAATGTTTTCAAGTAATATATTAAGTCACACTTAAACAGGCCAATCGAATCAAACTTGAAATAAAACAAGCATTATACCTTTCTCCGATCTGGTTGAGGTCTTATGTCGGGTTATTGGCAACAAAAAATTGACCAGCCGCACTTTGATCAGTGTTCTTGTGTCGACTGTTATTATTTTATTTTTTTAAACTAAAAGTCTCCAATGTTACTTTGAAATTATTTATTTATTCTGTATATTAGGCAAACTAATGGTCTGACGCAGATTAATTGTATTTGAATTATCTTCTAGTTTCACACTATAAAGAACATAATGAAATCGACATAATATATTAGTATAAGTTCTTTAATTTGTTTTTTATCTTCATTTTTTGGCAAATGCAATTCGTTAAAGTAAACTTGTATTTTTTTTTTAAGTTTTTTTTAACAGTTAGAAATAAATAATTCATGCATAATTACATTTATGCATGAAACACTAGCTAGGATTTTAATTTCCATGCATAAAGCTACATGTTGACCTTTTTATAACTTGTTACTTGTTGGGACTGAAGTTTGTCATGCAATATAATATTGCAAAGAGATGAACACTAACCAAGCATGTGACGAACCAATCTTTGAATTTCTGAAAAAAAAAATGAGATTTCATAAAATAAAGATATTTATTGAAGGAAGAAAGTGAGAAGGAAAGAATCTGCACACGTCACAGGTATAGGGATTTTGGATTGGAAGTGTGGTTGAATTTTGAAAACAATGAAATATATGAATACATGTCCCAAACTAACCACCTTGTGCTTTTTCTCATCCCATTTCAATCCACACTTGCTCGAAAAAATTATGTGATCGGTAGACGATTTTAGTCTTATTATAAAATAAATTTTTACTTGTCATATTATATTTTACTTTTACTTAGTATAACAATTATTTTCATAAAATTTTTATTATAATTTAAGTTATGATAATAGAAGTTATGATAATAAAAGATAAATATTTTATAATTATAATTTATATATATTTTTTATCGTAGAATTATTATAAACACCATATTGATAATTTGAAAAAGTTATTTTACATGTGATAGTATTTATTGAATGGGATGAATATTAATAAATCTAATCTGTTAATTTACATGTATAAATTATATACATTAGGATGTGATAATGGAATGGACTATTTTTTTTTTAATTATTAATATTATCTTAATATATTAATAGAAAAATATTAAAAATATTTTTCTTTAATATAAAAATGTCATATTAATTGATAAGTTAGTTATTATATTTTAAATACTTATTATATTATCCTTAATATCATTGAATATTTATGAGATTTTTGTTATTTAAGAAGAGATTTTTTTATTCATGGAGTCATGAATTTAAGTTCTATAATAAAATTAAAGTTTGGTCTTTTAATAAATTGAAGGAAGAAAAAAAAGTATTTTTCTTAAATTATTAATTAATTTATTATTGATAATTATATTATACACTAAAGTGAATAAATACTATAATTTTTTTAATTGATTCTAAAAGGTAAAATATATCATTATTTCATTCGAATAAATATTATAATATTTATTAAATAAATTAATTTTAATATTTTATTTTAAAATTAAATAATAATTAATTTTATTAAAAATATTATATTTAAATTAAATATTTTAAATAAGAAAATATTCATCAAAATTGGAATTAAGATTTTATCTTGTAAAAAAAATATTATTATAAAATACTTTTTAAAAGATATATGAAATATTTTAAAAATAATTTCTTGTTCCAAGAGTAAACGTTATTAACAATAAAGATTGGTGTGAGTATAAACACATAGAATTCTCATACAATTAAAAAATTTATACTTCAAAGATTAATCACTAGAAAGCAAATTTTATATATTATGTTTTATATCGCTTATAATTAAAATATGAAATACATCCTCTTTATTATAAAATTAATTCATATTTCATACATTGTATCAGGAACACACTTCATATCGTGAACCGCTCTAAGTTTTTTTTTTTTTTTTTTTACTCACGTATCAACTTGACAACTATGCTTAGTCCAACTTTTCTGTTTGTGTACGATAGCCTGAGCTTGGAACAACTGTTTCCGTGTTAACGTTTTCACAAGACATGTGTCAGATGGACGCAGGTTCCTTGTGAAAATTGTTTCAAAATCTTTTGTCTGTTTTTCAATCACCAGTATCATATTTCAAATGTTTTATATGTGTAAATATTGGGGGCTTTGAAAATTATCGATAACTGAAATTGGTGCTGAAATTTTTTTTGGCCCTTCTGCTGGAATCGCTTTCAGATGTGAAGACGCTTGTCCATGGATCACAAGCTTCTTTCATCTCTAAAAAACTTTAAATTTTTTTTAGTGTGAAGAAACAAGAGAAGGAGCATACTAATAAGCGTATCTTAGATCAATTGATTATATTACATTATTTTATTTTCAATCGATTAATAACAGAAAGATTTACGACATGATTTAATTATATATAAAGAATAATACGCTATGTTTAATCTAAAACTTTAAACCTTAAATCCTTCTATCATATTTTATTATATGTTCTTTACATAATGAACTTATATGTTCTTTACATAATGAATGAATGTATATGAAAGAAATATTAGTGAGCTAAAAAACAGTGTTGGATCTTGATCATTAATTTTCGAGGTCAAATAATAAATTATTAATAAATAATATATAAATATAAAAAGATAAAAAAATAATGAGAAGATAAAATTGTAAATATATAAATAAATATATTAAATAATTATTAAGTTCGGGAACAAAATCATATATTATATAAGAGTTAGAATTGTAAATATATTAAATAATTATTAAGTTTGGGGTCAAAATTATAAATTAAATTATATGAGAGTTATAAAACTTTAGAGGACTAAACCCCTTTAATTTTCAAAAATATCTGTTACTTATTGATGTACTAATATGAATAAACTCATATAAGATGGAAGGGACTCAAATTTGAGAAAGAGATTATTAAGTAATTTAGATATGAGTCTAAGTCTCATATTAAGTAAGAAATGAGAAAATTAAACAACATAAAGAATTATAACCCATAATTCAATACTTTAAGGTTTTGACTTGAAGGTAGTGTCATATTCTTTCTTGTATAAATCTATGATTGACTCACATCTCATTTATAAGTCTGTTATTAGTTTCTAAAAAATACGTAACATAATTAGTGTATTATGTGAAAAAATAAATTATCAATTTATATATAATTTATTATAAATGGTTTAATATAAATAATATTTTAAGATAAATGTATATTTTTCTCTTAATATAATAGTGTTATGAATTGTTTTTTTTTTTTTTACGAATTCATGACTGAAAACAAGTAAAATCTCAAATTGAAATTGACTAAATTAACTTATTATTGAAGACTTTGTTTTTTAGCGTAATTTGAATGTTTATTAAATATACTATATTAAGTGTATACATATCATATTAATTTATTAAATATGATAAAATATAATATGTAGTCAAAGTATTTTAAAATATATTTTATAAACTAATTCAAAACCATAAAATTTTAATATATATATATATATATGTGTGTGTGTATATATAATTTTATTTTTACGAGAGAGATTGAATGATGTTTAAAAAAGTTGTTTTATTTTTTTTTCTATTTTTTTACATATTTTCTTTCAAATAAAATTTTCCCTTTTCTTGTTAGAGAATAAAAATATTCGTCATTAACAAGTAATTATTTAGAAAGTTAATTTGTGAAGAGAAATAATTTCCTCGTTGATTAAGGAGGTTAAATATTGTGTTCTTTAATTCGAAAATTTGAAAGAAAATAAAGGAAATACTTAACTTGGTCGACAGACTTATTTTGACTTTAAAAATTGTGACTAATTTTGCTAGTGACGAAATTTTGAAATTTGGGCGATGAATTTTCACTTTTACTGTAATTTTATTTATTTCAATAATAAAAAAAAGTAAAGTGTGTGTAAAAAAACATGTTAATTAATAACATTATTCTCATACTCCACACACTGCACCACACATTGCCGAGATACACAGCACAAATATTGCTATGCATTATTCCTTAATTATCCGAATCAACATGCACGTCTCACGAGTCACGATGCTTGTGTAAAATCATAAATTAAGTAATTAAATTGGATGGTGACGATTCTTAATGAAATTAATTTGGATAAGTTTGTCTAGTCATTGTTAATATTCATCCATATTTAAACATTTGTACAATAAGAGGATGCTTTCTCATAACACTTGTTTGTAGCAAGTGGCTTTTAATTTCAAAATTAATCATATATTGTGATCATTTTTTGTAAAAAAAAAACGCAGAAAAAGACACATGAATCTGGTAAGAATAATAGTAGTAGCTTAAAAAATGTATACAATGCTTCAAGAAAACATTCACCGTCCATGGTAGATTTTTAATCCCTTTAGTTGTTATCTTCCGTTGTCTTCTATTTCCATTACCCTTTGTTTGTTTCTCATCATTCTATCCATTCGAAGAATTTAAAAAATGCATGTTATAATTTCTTCACTTTCCGTCCAAATATATAAACACACCTTAGTATTGTTTTTTGTGGTTTGAATGTTCCAACCAGAATCATGGTTTAAGGATAACAAGGTTGTTTTTTTTTCTGAAACGCATGTTTTTATGTACCGCCACTGTGAGATACGACACAGTATAAATTATAAAATAAGAAAAGAAGATTTATGGAGATTAGGAAGTAAAATTGTATTTTTACGCGTTAATTTTGTCTATTATTATTGAAGACAAATTAGTTATACATGTGTTTACAGCTGAGGATGAAGTTGACGAGAGCAACAACATCATTTTTAACATTTTTTTTTTTAAGTTTGAATGTAAATTACTTTAACTACCAATGCCGGCAAATTTGACAGAAATAAATGTGAGTATAATTATAATAGATTAAGCCAATAAGAAAAGGTTTAATTGTAACATAAGTTATTGTTATCCACCGAATTAGGGTTTTGGTCATCTTCATTCTAGAAGTGATGAGGGAGAGCAATTCAATTTTAACCTTTTCAAAGATAATGCAAACAAGATTACAAACTCCCTATTTTTTTTTTTTTTTTTCATAACGTTACAGCTGTTTAAAACTAAACGATTTTTTTTTTGCATTTTGAATTTAAAATAAAATAAAATCAAACCTTAAATATATATTATTTAGTTTTTAGTTTTTTTTTATGGAGAATATATGTTAAACCTACATAAAAATGGTATATATAAGTTGGATTCTAATATAGCAACACAATTATAACATGTTATTGCTGTTATCAGATAAAATATTTAATTATTTTTTATTATTTTTAATATGTAGCCGCATAATTTTCGAAAAGGATAATAACAAATTAAATATGCTTTTTCCATATAATATAACATATGATAGATGTAGTCATTTTTAAGTAGCAAATTTTTTATTATAAGAAAAACCAATTTTTAATTAAAATTGTTTAGAATTAAAAAATTAAAAATCACAAAAAAAAATGTTTAATAATGTTTGGATATTATTTTATCTTCAAATCGAATTTTACTTAATTTTTACATTTTGTTGACACTTATTACATAGGTGTGTATGTATTTTTTTTCTATGACTGTTATTTGAATTTTGTTAATTGTGATATTAATTATGTTAATATTTGAAATAAATTTACTCAACGAATTTTCTCTAAAATATTGTAATTTCTTCATTAATTTTCTTTCTCTTATAATCAAAATAAATAATTTATCAAGGTGTTTTCAATAAGTATTTAAATTTTTTTACTAAAGTAAAGTAAAATAAAATCATAATTTTATGAAAACTCCACTCAGTTATGCTTGAAATATGTCAATTACACGACTAACAGTTTTTTTTTTTAATTCTTACTATAAAATAACTTTTAAATAAAGTTACCACGTGATATTAATATTATTTTTAAATAAGCTACCTCTTGATGTTATACTATAAAAATAGACTTAGATACAATAAAAAATATATATATTTAACTATTAGTTAGGTATAGATTCTGTGTATCATATCTTGAATAATAATATTTTAAATTTTATAGTTTATAATTGATTATAGTAGTTTGTGTTTAATTAATTAATTAACTTGTTTTTTCTATTTAAAGATAGCCAAGTCTATTTTAATATGAAATAAACTTTTAAACATAGTACTAAATCTATTTTCCAAATAAATCAATTCATTTCTAAAAAATACAAATAAAAAGTCAAAATTAGATCTTTGATATTTAAACAAATCAACTTTATTACATTATTATTACTTTGATTTTCAACAAAGAGTAATGATATTTTAAAGACTTTTATCTAAATAACTATTTAAAATTTTCTATAATAATACAATGATAAAAATATAATTTAAAATTATTATTCTAAATAGTAGAATTGTATGTAAAAAAATTGTTAAAATATCATTTAACTTCTATTAATCATTTCAATTTTTTCTGTTTACCTTATTAGTATTTCTATTTTGTAATAAATTGAATGATGAATTTGGTAATTATAATATAGTTAAAAGTGAATTATTTATCCAATTTTATAATTAATTTAATCTAAAGGGATGTTAGTGTGATGAGTAAATATTGTGAAGGCTTAAATATTTTACCCAGATAGTGGAATGTTGTATTACAAAACACGAGTAACAAGTAAATATCAGAAGAAAAAAGCATAAAAAAAATTACTAATAGTGAAAACAAAACATAAAGTAGTAAAAATAAACCATTTTTTATTTTGTTTCAAATATTAAATGAGAAGAAAACTTAAAAACAAAGTATAAATAAACCTATTAATCTTTGAATTTTGTTTAAAGATAAAATTATAAAGAATAAAAATAAAACAATAAATAAAATAATATCTATACATATATAAATACCATTTACACATATGATGAATAAGATGTTTTAACTTAAATCTAGATTATAGTTTATAGGCTATAAAGTCCATGTCCAATTACTTGCACGTTTCCGTGTATTATACTGCGACTTTGTTATTGTCATCTTCCTCATTTCTATTTTAACCCAACAAAAGTGGTGGTTATAGTTAAGGTTCACAAATTTTCTCACAACATATTTTATTAAGATTCTTTCTAGTTGAATTCAAAAGAGAAAAATAAATTAAAATAAAAATAATTTAAAAGTTGAACAAAGTAGGTGCTTAACTTTGAATTTAGATTGAACGGTTTATATATTTAATTGTGTTTTTTATATTAAAAAGGTTGTCAATATTATTGAAATATGTTTTAGTTTTTTTACAACAATTTTAAAAATGAAATAAATTTATATTTATTGAAAAATGGAAATCCATAAAATAATTTTTTTTATTAAAAATCAAAGTTATAATGTACATAAGTCTATAGGGCAACAATTATTTTGTGTAATTCAATATGATTGCGTGAGTGATACCTATTACACAGTAATTATACACTAAATACAGAGAAATGTAAAGATAATTACATAAAAATCATATTAATTTAGTATTTGGACATGTTAAGAAGAGACATGAAAAGGGAAACCCTACCTAAGAAACATGTATAACAAAATAGTTATTATTAATAAAAAATGCAGACAACCTACATATCATAGAAGAAAATATTATTTAATCATTTATGTTTTGGATTAAGTTAAATAAAATAAATACATCTTAGCAAGATTTTTATATATTAATTTTCATTTTGTATTAATATTTACGTGTATGTATGTAAATATTATACACCCCACACCCAATATTAATCTATTCTCACTGTACAACAATGTTCAGTTCTAACTGAATAAAACATAGACTATGTGGGTTTTATATTTTATCGTAACCTCATAAATATTTAACAATCCAAAGACAACAAAATTTAAGCATGCACCATCCTCTGTTAATATAAAAAGTTACAAAAACATAAAAAAAAACTTTATGTAATACTCTATTCGAATTCTAATGTAAGTTAATTCTAAAATAATCAAATAAAATAAATGAAATATCCTCATTAAAATTATTTAAAAAATATTTGTTTTTATTTTTAATTAATAAAAAATACAAGTATTTAAAATATTTAATATAAATAAATAAAAGTTAATATTTCATAAAAAAAAATCAATTTCTTATAAACTATTTACTATTTTCTTGAATTATATTAAGAGTATAATAATAAAATACATACGCCCGAGAGGATCATGTCTCATGTATAAAATAGAAAACAACAAATCTGGTGATGAACAACGAATAATCTTTCACCCTATCAGTTTAAGTGATTGGCGAAAGGAAAGAATATCCTGATAAAAGAAAAGAATATTTTGATTTTTGAAACGAGTAAGAACAATAGTTTCTTTCAAATTTATGCTTATAATTTTTGAAGGCCATGAAACTATAATTACTTATATGGTCCCTACTCACTGCATGAAAAGGGAAAGAAGAGAAGGGTCACAGCTAAGCATAAACATGCACACCGACACACTAGCAAAACCTATTCGGAGACAGAGATCACCCACCAGAGCAAGCAACCTCCCTATCTTCTTCCTTTGTCTCCGTATAATTTGTCAACTTCAAATTTTTATATGGTATTAAGCTTAACATAAAAAAAGATAAAAAATTATACGTGAAACATGTTATTTAATATAAAATAATGCTTTTATTATTTACTGTTCCTAACTCTAATATTATGGAAAAAATGATAGAAGAAATTTGTATGAATGATATTAATTTAAAACAAATAAAGAAGAATGAAACACCATTCTCTTAGAGTGATTACTTTCTTGATTTTTTAAGTCTGTTTTATTTCATTTCAATTTTTACGCCTACCATTAAATACCTTTACAACTTAGATATATAACAGAAAAAATGTGAAATTATTCTATTTTGCAGCCTTACAATGAACCATTAATCATTTCTTTTACTGAAAAAGCAACCCACAACTACATGATGATGACTCACTAATACATTCTTAATGTTGTGAAGCATTTTGATTACAATCTAAAAGCCTTAATCAAAAGTTTCCCATTTTGTCATCACTACAACAGACTCAGAATGTTTTAACTGTTGCTGTTTCTCCTGAATGTCATCACCACAATACTCTATGCTCTTGTTGTCATCATTTGTAAGAGAAATTGATTTCTCCCTTCTCATCTTCAACATATCTAGAGTCTGAATGTGTGTTTGAACTCTCCTAATCTTCACATAAATGTTAGTGACAAATAATTTTTAATAATATCAATTGTTATAGATTTCAGTTTTGAAAACAAAGAGTTAGTACCTGCTCTCTTTGTTGCAGTTTTAGTTCTCCCTCACCATAAATTTCATCCAATGCAATCAATGTTCTCATCAAATTTTCAGTCAAAGTTTCTATATCTAACTCTTCTGTAACCCCATCAACCTCCAAAGTTGCAACCTATTAAATTTTAATGAATTAAAGACATTAATTAGTAGGAAAAATAGGTACTACAATTCATAATAGTGAAATTTTGTTGTGAAATTAGGTACCTTTTTGGCAAGTTTATCAACCTCGAACTTTATTTCTGCCAAGGACTTCGCAGTCTTCTCCTTCTTTGCAGTTTTTAACTTCTCAAGCATCCGTCTTTCTCTGCTCTCAATGTCCACAAGCAGCATCAATTTTGACCCATCTTTCACTTTCTCAACATCAAGATATGACTTCGAATTCCTCTCTTTTTTCTTGTAAATCAACTTTTGATCTTGAACGTGTAGTCCAGTCGGTTCAGTTAACATTTTCTTCAATTCCCCTGCAACCCTCAAAGATTCACATCCAATAATCTGTAAAAAAAAAATATAAAATAAAGAGTACATGCCGTATAAAGTTTAATTCAATCATGAATTTTCATGTACACTAACATAATCTCATTTTTAGTTTTTCACAACAATAACATTATAATAACGAATATTTCATAAAACTGATTAGTAGTGGTACATAAAATTAAATTCTGAACAAAAATCTTAAAAATGGATTTACCAAAGCTTGCATGAGAACTGATTTGAATTTGGTGATAGGATGAGTCATACTTCACTCTGACTTTGATGGTGGATTTAGTTGTGGAATTTTGGTTCACATCCGAGGTACGTTTCTGTACCACCATTCCTCCTGGCCTTAATTCCCATTCAGCTACTTCTGTGTTGTCATGGACACCAATGTCACTCCTTTTGCCCTTTAAAAACATGTTATGGATAGTTGACTCCTTCCAGTTTCTACTTTGACCAAAGCCAAATTTTATGGCTGCCATGGAAGAGTGCGCTCTTGTGTTTTCTCAGAGAAAAAAGGACATATAAAAAAGAGGTTCCTCCAAGGAAACCAAGGAGAGAAGAAAGAACTTGATTTGTCCAAAAGCCTATTCTTCATGATGGAAAATAAAACAAAAGGAAGAGAAGAGAAACAAAAGGAAAAGAAAGTTCAGAAGGGTAAGTAAGATTATTATAATTTAAAAGGAAGAAAAAGGTACAAACCTTGAGTTTGGTGGTGGAAGCGGAAACTAGCAGTCGGTGGGAGGAAAAAAAAAAAACAGAGAATGAAAAAGAAATGAAACCGACTGGGAAATACTATGATAATTATAGAATAAGATAAGTGAGAGAAAATAAGAAAAGAAGGAAAAAAATTGAAAGAGAAACTGAGTGGCAGCTGCAAAAAGTGTCAGAATTTGAAGAAAAGAATATAAGAAAAAAAAATGTGAAAGAAAGAAAAGGTAAAAAATCAAATTTGGTAGCGCTGGAAGAGACACAGAAGGAAGATCGGCGATTCGTGAGCGAAAATGGAGTTTTCATATTTCTACTGTGTCTGCATTAGTCAAATTTATAGTGTTGTACAGTTTTGCAAAATGTAAGAGAAAATTAATTAATGAAAACATTGAACCATAAATTGTGTGTGCTGCTAGTGCTCTTCTGTTTCACATATTCTAAATCAACTTATATAAGTCTTAGCAAACTTTTCACAACTAAATATCCATCAAATATCTTACATAAACTTAAAGAAAATTAAAAACAAAAAAAAATCATGATAAATGGGGTGTGTTCATTCTTACAATGTACTTAAAAATCATATGATTTTTTTATTGGTTGAATTTTTAATTATTTTTCTTATTTTGTAAAAAAATAATGCAATATACTTCATAACATTTTTTTTTCACACTACCTGAAATATCAGAAAGATACTAGGAGGATAGGTATATAATGAGTTCTGTTATTTGTGTACAAAATGTTACAGACTGTTTTTATATATTTCTTCACTTTTTATGTTTCTCTTATTAATATCTGTTGAAAATTGAAAACTATAGACAATAAATCTTAAGTGTAATAATTTCTGCCTCATAATTGTCAGGGTAGAAGCAACAGAGTTATACAGGGAAAACGGGAGGAAAAAGTACAGTTAAAAAAAAGAAGCAAAATCTGAAGCCAGTTTGCTGGAGTCTATGTACTTGAGCGCTGGGCTCGTTATAAACAGAATTAAGAATATTCCTATTCAATATAGAATCACCAATTAGTGCACAGTTTTTCGTAATACTCTTGTAGTGTTCATCACCAAGATCGGGGCTACTATTAAAGCCTGCATGGGCTCCCACAATTTTACTACTATCATCAGTTTGTTAGTTTATGTTTACAATGACATTGTTGTTTTCCTCTTTGCAATAAGTGTCATGTTTATTAATGATTTATTTCAAAAATTAAAATACTATAGCTCTAATCACGATTTCAGTTACATTATGTAGAAGAATACAAATACAAATGAAAAAAACAATTATTTTATCAAAATATTTTCATTTGATCATTATATTGGAAAAATTGTTTTAACTAACTCAGAACAGTAACTAGCTCCAACGAGCAACACGCCTGAGATTTTATTTTAATTAACAGAGTTGAAATTGAGATGATTTGCAGCATTGGATGAATTGAAAATTAAATTAATTGCAAAGGAATATTTTAAAGATACTAAAATTATAAACAGAAAGAGTTAAATCCCTCAACTTTAGAATTAAAATAAAAAAGATATGAAATCAAAAGTTGAAAAGAAAAGAAACCAACGCCAATAGAACAAGGAAAAGAAAAGCCTACAACAACTTGTCAAAGAAAAGATAAAAGAAGAACTTCATCCTAACAAGCAGGAGATAGGGAAAAAAATTGATCCCCCCCAACCCCAGGTTAGCTAAAGGGCATCTTTATGCATAAGTAACAAAGGAATCCTTTAGGAGGGGGGTGGAAACAAGTGAACGGTAATAAAAAGAAAACATGCAAGTGGTCCACACACCCGTTTGCGTCCCTGAACATGATGCTGTCTCTATCCATACTATGACAGTGATGATATCTTCAGCAGGAATTGACTAATGGACATATCACAATATAGGCATAGTATATGACAAAGTAAAAAGAAAGATGCCTGCATAAAAATGAGAACACTTGTATCACTCTAGAAATAGTACTGAAATTTGTTATAAGGATGTGTAAATCTCATTGACCAAAACAAGAAGAAATCTATGAATCCCATCACCATCCAAACATAAGGCCAATTCCATGTTCAGTTTTTGGCGTTAGTGTCATTTTAAGAACAAAAACTCTAGAGAAACCAGCTGACACGTCAGTCACCAGGAATTGATTAAGACTAATATGGTATTTCGATTGATGGATTAAAGAAATATTATTTCCTCTTTCAATAACCTTAACGTTATTTAAAAATTTTCGCTCTCCCTCTATGTTCCTTTTTTCTTATTGACATGGTTTAGAAACACTTGAAATTGGCAATTGAGGCCCTACAAGCAGTAGAATTTTCGGGTAAAGCACTGTCCCAGACATTTTGAGACAGGTGTAGTTCAGAAATATTAATTCTTAGACCTGTGATAAGCAGCTCAAATCCAAAAGTTTCTTAGTAACGTTGCCCTTTCTTTCTGGGAACAATGCATGTATCACTTTTGTACAAAATGACAAGAAATGACTTAGTGGGTTGAAAACTGAATAGCACAGTTGACTACATCAGAGTATCTGCACATTTGTCTACAGTTAAGATTTGAAAAATATAATCCAAAGCTAAAATTAGAGAGAAATCACAGAAATATAATTTTTCTATCATTTTGTCAAAATCCACTTTTATCAAACCTGCCAACATTATGTTTCTCATCTCAGAAATACAACTCAATGCTAAAGCTAGAAGTATGAAAGGGCCCACCCACTTTTTCAAGACCAAGGGAGCTGTTACAAGATGTTGAAAGCCAGGGGCAGCAAAGCTGTGGAAGCAGGAAACCCGTTCTCCCACATTATCCTAATCAATTTCAAAAATTCCAACAAGATGAAACAGCAGGCTACCTTACTGTTCCTTCTGAGCTTTAGATCTGGCAGGCCTCCCAGGTTTGATTACTTTACCAAGAAGAATCGTAATAACAGGAACAATGGTCCCAACGTAATACACACTTCCATATGAGGCAAGAGTTTCATCAAGGCTTAACACCTATTCAAATAGAATCAAACAATAGAAAACAGGTAGGAAACTTTAAAATCCATATCTGAATTGTTTAAGACTGAAAGTAGAAGTTGCACATGTGTGTTATAGGGGGAGGGGAGGGGGAGAAAGAGGACGAACCATGAAACCAACGCAGGAGTAATTTAGAACCAAAAGTGTATAGGCAAAGTTCATAATCACAAAGACATTCTTGAGCAGAGCCTTTGTCGGAGGCACAGCTTGCTGCCATCTATAAATGACTGTTTCAAAAGAAACACAGCAAAGTTAACTAACAGAAGAAAAAATAACAAATGAGCAAAAATCAACATATACCTCTGGAACCAGCAATCATTAATGCTGACTGAACAAAGAATATTATGTATCCAGGGTACAGACCCTACAATGATGAAGTCAAAATGTTAAGGAAAAAATTATGTCACAAATCCTTACATATAGAGCATAGATTTATTAAATACAAGCACATCACAGTTGTTACATGAAACAGTATCTTCAGCTTGCTAAAATGGATCTCTTTTCCCAAATAACATAGTAGAAGAAATTAATAAATATATTTATACATCACCTCATCTATAACATACTGCTTATTCTCAAGTGTAATAACTATTTGTCTAATAATTAGTTTTTCCTAAAAATTAGACAAACGTTTGCAAATATAGTAAGCTTGAAGCAATAATAAAGCAAATACCAAGATATGATAGCAATAGAAACAATCCATGTAATATGCAGCTAAAATTTTACTCACATGCCAAACAGCACTAACGGTCTGGGTGGCAAGAAGCTGAAAGAAACCTGGTTTCTTCCCATTCTGAATAAGCCTCTCATAAACATCTGTCCAAAACCCAAACAATAGCAACATCAATATTTTATATTTCATTGTCAACTTTTCTGAATGGCATATAAATAGAATATACATATTTTAATTTTGTATCTAGCAAAGCCTACAGATTAAGAACAGAAATATGAAATCATGCTATAATTTACTTAAACAAAAACCATGCTATAAATACTTAAAGTTATAGAAGAAGAATATAAAAAGAAAAAAGTTAAATTAATTAAATTTCCTTCATAAATCAAAATCATCTTATCTAATTTTCTAGAAATTCTGTCATTTAACACCTTCAAAACTGATTTTTAACTCAAGAAGAGATATTATTAGTATAACCCAATTAATGCATGACAGAGTTCCCACTAAGGCTATTTTTTATATACATTTAAATAAATACCTGAATTTATAGAAAAATAATATAAAAAGGTAAAACTAATTAAGTTTCCTTCATAAATCAAAATCAACTTATGAATTTCAACTTTATAGAAGTTCTTTCATTTAACACCTTCAAAACTGATTTTTAACTCACAGGAAAAACTTAATTAATCTAACTTTTTTATTTTCTCATTGAAAAGTTTATCCAAATTCAGAACTAACCACCTAAAAATTACTATAGCCAAACAGGTAAACAAAACTTAAAAATGATGCATCTATGACCATAAACTAAGTTTCATGCGTATACCTGAACAATGTCTATATTCTATTGAGATAACTAATCAAACCCCGCTATAAAAGCATCCAAACTCATTAGCAAGACACTCACAATGGCGAAGCCAAGTGCTAACTTGAATATTCCACACAGCTGGGATTGTAACTGCACTCTTTGCAAACTCAACACCTATTATATCTACATTTTTTGCCCGGTCCCATCTTGGCTTTGGTGGGGACGAATCAGTCCAGCCACTGAAACCCAGGCCAGAGATGATTATAGAAGCTTCTGAAATTGACCAAATGAAATAATACTTCCAGCGTGCAGTAAAGCCAGACATATACTGGTAACTTATTTTTTTCCAGAAACACCATTTATGGTAGGTAGGATCAGTAAACTTGGACAGAGGAAAATGAGGCACAAGGTTTAAATACATGGCCATGCAAAAACCAGCTTGGAAGAGAGCCCGGATGGTTGCCCCGTAAGGTGATGGCGATGGCCCTTCACCTTCAGAGCTCCAAATCTGCAAATGACAACGATAATAAACACTAGGTTTGAAATAACAGATACTAGAACAGTAATTCATAACATATCAGCATAAAAAAATGAGAAACTGCTACTGAATTTTTTATTTCAAATTTAAGGAGAATTGGACATTCAATGCTAGTGTATTATTTACTTATTTTTAACCCCTTGGAAGCCAAAAATTAATCCCTGACTACAGGTCTAGAAATGACACCTCTTAACAATTGTTCCATATACACAGGTTTAAAAAACCAAAACCTCAATATATAAGGATCAAGGTTATTTACTAATCATACTACATCATGTTACCTAGTCTATCCCGCTAATTGTCATTAACAAAAATCAAAATAAACAATAAAGAATACCCCTTTTCCTTCTGCCCAATCAAGATAATCCTTCATTTCATAAACAGGACCGGCAAAGTGACTGCCACAGCAGAGGCAGTAACCAATGTACTCAAGGAGCGAAGGCAACTTGACCAGACGGTACTTCTTCTGGGCCTCGCGCAAGCCCTCCTCTTTCACCAATCCATCGTTGTAATTAACCGCACACGATATAACCTTGAGCGTCAAAACCATCAAGGCCCCTATTTGCAAACCAACCAACCAATCATCATTACAGATAACGTTACCACTGTGATAATAACAGTCAGTCAAACCCCTCATTCCTCAATCCAAAAATTAAATAAAGAAAATAAGAAATCATAAATTGGCGCTCACCAGTTGCGTCGATGCCACCTTCCTTCCATGCATCGCCGCTCATGTAATACACGTGGCTGCAGAAGAGACAGAGTCAGAAACGCAGTGCTAGGTCAAAGAAAGGAACAATTGATTTACACCGAGAAAATAGATCGATTGTACCAGCCAATGAGGTAACCGAATCCGAGGAAGAAGGTGAGGATGCCGCATCGGCGGCGAAAGAGGAGCATGGAGGCGTAGCCAAGGAGCATGGGGACGAGGAAGTGAAGGTTGGAGGAGACGCCGAAGGAGAGGTAGGAGAGGATGATGCCAACAACGGCAGAGTAGAGGTGCTTGGGGAGGCCGCGGGGGAGGAAGCGGCAGATGAAGCTGAGAGGGACGGTGGCGGCGAAGCAGAGGAGGAAGCGGAGCACGGGGACGGAAACCCCGATAGAAGCGGCCATGGAATCCATGGCCATGGCTTCGAATGGAAATAGACTAATCGTTCGTTGTTGGTGTGATTGAGATTTGACGGATAGAAGCCTTTGAATGCTTTGGCTTTGCGTTCTATCTTAAAAAAACACCATCTTTGAGTTTGAACCTCTTAATCGCTGAGAATGTTAGTGAAATGACATGCTTACCCCTGACTCTATACCTCATACCAACCTCTTTGCGTGACTGCAACTTCGCACGGATCTTCGTTTCGTACCCTCTTCTTTGGAAACTCCGTCAATTTCTTTACTCACGTTCTCTGTTCTTTGGTAAAACAGAACTCAATAAATACGCCTTCTTTTTCTTCTTGGTGAAACAAAAAATCAAACCTGATTCAAATTAACCTCGTATAATCTAATAAATACATTATGTCAGGTTATTCATATCTACTGTAACAATGTGTCTTTATTTCTACAAATATTTACCCTACTAAAACTTTAGTTTATTTAAACCACTTTCCTATTTAAGTTTTTATTTTAATAATTTCTACTTTTTATGTCATAATTTTTCTTCTAAGTATATTATAAAGATATGTATAAATATCATTTTGATAGGTTCAATCTGAAATGCCACTAGAAACTAGTTTATTATTTTAGTAATTGAATTAATTAAATTGGGATAAAACTAATAAAATTACTTGAATTTTTTATTTAAATCAATTTAAAAAAATCATATATATATATATACATATATTTAAAGTTAAAAAATGTTTATATAATTAAATATTTATAATTTTAAGCTTTTTATATAAATGGTACTCACGTTAAGACAATATGTTTATTTTAAAACAAATTTGAAATGTTTTAACAAAAATTTATGTTCATGTTTTACTTATTGAATATTATTTATTTTTAATGTTCATTTAAAGTAATATGTAATATGTTATTCTAGAAATAAAACCCTCAAAAGAAGTTGAGATTTAATTAATAGACACAATTTTATAAAGGTCTATACTGATAGATAATATAAAAACTTACTATTACTTAAAAAAAATTTATGCAATAATTAACACGCCTCTTCAATTATAAAAAAAATAAAAGATGAATAATTTTAAGAGTAAAAATTATTGATAAAAAAATCGAAAGATTTTACAGCGTTAAAAAATAGAGAAAAAAATACAAACTTAAAATTTAAAAACATCTAAAAGATTAAAAGTTATGAATATATTAAAAGTACACACAGCCCCAACATAGTGTTAAAGTAAATGCAATTAATATAATATGTTAATTACTAAAAAAATAACATTTATATTTATGTTATATATTATTATTAAAAAATTACAATAAAATTTAAATAAATATTACTAGAAAAATAACAAAAAATTATTAATACATAAAACAGAGTAGCAGCCAAATTACGTCTTTAGTTACACGTCTGTGCAACTCTTCATTTTATTTATTTATTTATTCTTTCCTACGACTTAGACTTTTTAACGATTAACTAAACTTATTAAATAAAATATATAATTGTATTTAGTATGTTTATTTGCTCAACATGTGAAATAAATTAAATATTATTTACCATTATATCAAATTTATTGGTTAGATACAAGTTGTTTTAAATTATTTTTTATTTGAGAGACGTGACATTATAAAATTATTTAAAATATTTATTATATGATCTTTAGGGCAAGGATGTTTACAAGTTATTTTAAGTTGATTGAAACAATTCTTTCTTTGAAGACATGGCACCTATGATTCTCAAGTTGCTTAAAATATTAATTACCTTTTTCCAACCATTCAATTTTAAAATAAAAAGAACAATTGTATACACTATAAAATAATATAAATTTGCAAATTTTTTGAAGTTATTTAAAATCTCTTTAATTTTAGACCATTCAGTAAAAAGAAATATATATATATATATAAAAATTGAAAAATATTTATATATTGTTTGAAATCATTTAAAATTTATTTCATTTGAACATTATTAAATTTGAGTTATGTAATATTAATTTAACATCATCATAATAATAAATAATAATAATTTTATTCCTAGAACTTTTCAATTTTTCAACAATTAATTATGGATTTCCTTACCAATAATTTAAATAAATTTTTCTATACTCCTAGATCAGGTTCTTTTTCACTGTACTGAAAAGAGATATTTGTAAAAGATATTTCGAATATTTTAAAAACATTATTATTTATTTAAATTAACTTTCTTTTCAAGTAAACCTTTATTAAGTTCATATTATTTTTTCATTTTGCATTTGAACTTCATTTCCCGACAAATTTCATAATTTTAGGATTTATTTAACTAACAATCACCCACAACATCTTGTAAATATGAAATAAAAGGAGTTCGTTTTCCTTGAAAATGTATTCTGTTTCTACAAAATTCAATTTTTTAAAATGAAAGTATTAACATGAATAGAAAATAAAAAATTATGAATTATTTGAAGTTTTATTTTTAATTTATTTCATTGAAATAAATTTGAGAAAATTATTTAAAAACAACGTGATATAATATTGATTAATAATTATAGTTTCAATATGTAAAACAACTCCTATGAACGAGTTCCATTAAAAAATATAACTTTAACGTAACTAAAGTAGATTTATTTTTTTTAGATGGTCAGCAAAATATTCAATAGCTTACCTTATGTGATAAAGACATCAATTTTGCCAATGGATCCCAGTGCAAAATATATTTACATTGCTATTATAATCTCAAAAAACAAAATAAAAGCATTAATGATCATTAATGGAGAAAAAGGTAAAATTTGAAATGGAGTGTTAAATGCTAGACAGAATGAAGTCAATGATGATGAATAATACAAGCGGTGAAAGTACTCAATGCAAATGATGATTCACCTTCTCATAACAAAAATGAGAATTTCCTTGCACACATTGTAGATAAAATCTTTTAAGAACGAGAGAAGAAGAATAAGAATAGGAGACAGTAAAAAAATTAAAAAATAATAAAAGATAATTAAAAAACTAGACTTTTTAAAAATCGAATTTTCTACTTATTTATAATTTTAGCTATAAAAATTCACTATGAAAATTTCAATTTTTAATAATCAAAATCAGCGATAAGTGGACAAATGCTTTAAAATTACGTTTAAAACATCTAAACGAGGAGTACATGTTTTCTAATGTTTAAAGATTATTTCTGCTTTAAATTTATGAAATAATTTATAGTTTCAATGCAAACAATAATACTAATATTATTAAACTAATATATATATATATATATATATATATATTACTAAAAAAATTCTTCTGGCAATATATTAGAAGCTTGGAGAATACATGGGTTAATTATTTACTTTTATGATGGCCTAATTATTACTCGTGGAGCAGTAATACACTTGTAGACTATTCTTTTATTTATTTGTTGTATTTTATTCTGGACAGTGATTTCATGGAAACAAGCTCAACGGAAGATGGAACTTATAAATGGGCCAAAGCCCAAACGAGTCACTTATCACGACTCAACAGAATGGGCCAAACCATTAATATATAATATTTATATATAATCCTATAGAGTTTTTGAAAGTTTTTTTTTCTTTAATTGTTATTTAAAGTTTAAAATAATATTAATTATTTTCTCATCTATATCCTTATCTCTACTTACTTTATAATTAGTTTGAATGTATGTATTTATTATGGTGAGAAAATGAAAAAGGATAAAATATAAAATCTTATAATATTTTATTGAAAATTAAAAAGATGTATTTATTGATTTTTTTCTAAATAAACTTAAGTTAGTTTTTAAAATAAGGTATAGAGTTAGTTGTTTAATATATTTTTTTTATTCTATACTTAAAAATAGAGTTTTACTTTGATAAGTTCGACAATAAAGGCTGACATTTAAAATTCGAATATTGAAGAGAAGCTTCACTTATGTTTTGAAAACAATACCAAAAATGCCTAAAAATTTGTATGTTTTCTGACTAAAGTTAGAAATTAACTTTAATAACTTGGAACAAGTATTGACATTTAACATTGATGTTGAATACCAAAGTGAATATTCTAAAAACTCTTAATATATTGTACCACAGTTTCGTCCTATTATAAAAGACATTATTTAAATGGAGTTTTTGATACTCATGATAAAGGATAACATTTAAGTCCACATTGAGTACCAAAGTGAAGCTCCAATTTTAGCACCAACATGGATAGTTAATTGATAGTCTCATTCACTTATACAAAAAAAGAGTTTATGTTTAGAACTTCTTAAACCCTTGTAAAAAATTTCAGAAGAACAAAGCCAATTGTTGACTGTTGTTATACTCAACTCATAAGTGGTTACATTATATTTTTTCAATATATTTGACTACCATCGACTCAGCCAGCTTTCACGTAACATTGGTGCGTGTTTTAATTAGATACAATGGTTCCTTAACGTGATTTAAAATTCACAGTGGAATAAATTATTATACAATTGTTTTAATTATATTCAATTATTCCTTCACGTGATTTTAAAATTTAGTGGAGAATAAATTATAGTAATTATCCAAATACGCAATTAAAAGGGATGGTGAAATAATACCATTCAACGGCATTTGAATTAGAGTGCACGCTAAAGATCAACCAAACACTGCCTAAGACAGGTTAAAGCAAAGGAGACTAATTTGACGTAACATATTTGAATTAAAATCTCCAAACTTGATATTGAATGAGTTTTATTTTACGAACTGAGTTCACAAAAATAACCCTCATCTTAATTTCAAACTGAATTTTAAGGTAAGCATATGGTAAAACCCAATTTTTTATCGGATCCAATTGAAAACCAAACAAGAGATTTTGAGTTTTATTTTTGTGAACATAATAAGTTGACGTTTTCTCCCATCAGAAAACCCAGCATGCCCTAAAACGTGGGGCGGGGAGCAAGTAGAAAGGAATACCAGATTTCAAGTAAAGTATAAACAATAATCAACGTTATCCCATAAACCAAAAAAGTAGTTCACTTAAGTCGTTTACTTCAAACATGATCCACGTTTCATTATCATGAAATGGTCACTTTTGTTCCATCTGCCAAAAGTATATAATATTCTGCACCATACAAGGTTACGATAGGCTGTTCGAGACAATCTTCCAGACTAATTAAACAAATATTTATAGAGATATATACATCACCTCCTTCCTGGTTTCTACAAAATTCAGAGTAAACCTCAAAGAACCATATTAAAACTCGATTCTCTATTCCTCCTGACGCGGCCTACGCTCTAGTTTACAATTATATTTATTTATATTTATCACCAAGGTTAAAAGCTATTTAAAAAAGCTTTAACCGTTCTGAATTCACTTGGATATATGAGCACAGAATCTAAACAGAGCCCTCCTTTAGTGTGTGTGCAATCAATTTGAGTCATAGAGAATTTAACTTTTGTTGATGCATTGCCATTATCGACAACAAAATCGCCTGCATGGTAAAAGGCCCATTTACCTGGTTCGTTCAGAAAACACTGGGATGTAACATACTGGCCATCTGAAGTCCATAGCTGGAAACGAACAGGCTTTATGTCCCACCCATGAACATGCTCTGTGTTGCAAACTCGTCGACCAAACCTCTTGGAGGCTCGTCCTAGGTGTATTCTGTAGAATACGCTGTATCTCCCAGCAGGAAACGGGAACTCAACATCCCCATCCACTTCAAACCACCAGATTTGCTGAAGGTAAGCAACACTGTTGAACCTGTGAATCAAGGAGATAACACTAGCTTTACTCCAAGGCTCTATTAAATCGACATTTAAACTATACTTATTTTTTAAAATAAAATACTAGACATTGAGCATTGCAACTTGCATCAGCAACTAGAAAGCAAGAGTAGGAATCATATCCTTCACAACATCCAAGTCAGAAAAAATTTCAGCCAGCACTAATCAATACCAAAAGCTATAATACATAATACAGCCAGAAGACTTCTGACTCTGAACACGGAACACATATACACACAACCACCAAATTTTCTAGGAGAAAAATTATAAAACACTAATAAAACATGACTACATTATTGATACATTGGGCAAGAAGACTAGGGTCACAACTATAACTGCAACTACAATATAAAGTTCTTGTCAGCTCTCAGCAACCGCGATGACAGTGGTATCATTCCACAGAAAATATAAACTAAAAAGTTAGTAGAGTAAAGGATCAGCATAAAGGACGGAGAAGGGAACACGAATAACAGCATATAGAATACGGAAATTACTCATATCAGCATTATTAGGCGTACGGTATAATATACTGGGAATTGAATTGTTTTTAATTTTGGAACTTTTTTAGCACTTCACGATTCCCAGGATTTTTAAATTTAACACATAGGGTTTTTTGGAGTTTTATCTTTTAGTAATTAAACATCGATTGAGCAGGTGAAACATTGGAAGGTGGAAGATAACTCGGAAGGTAACGACTTTGAAGCAAAATAGCAGTCCAGGTGAAAATGAGTAAGACATTTTATTTTCCTCCATTTCACAATCTTGTAGAACCAAACAAACCCTCACCCAAATTCTACTTTCAGTTTTTATCACCCCTCCCTCAAACAGCACAACATAATTTGCAAGGCCAGGCTAATTAAAATATAAATCAATAAATTAAAAAAAAATGGACGTATTCCAATGGGTATAAAATAGGAGAAGAAAAGTGACCTAGATTCCTCAGTGGGGATATGGTTCCAGTATCTTCTGTCATCGATCCCCGTTATGGACAATCCCTTGGCCGAAACGCACAAACACAGTTTACCCATGCTCCGATCCAGCCATACTTTCTGCACAAAACACAACTCTCTCAACTCTACTTCCTCTCAAATCAAACCACAAACCAATAGCAATAATATTAATCAATAAATTAATTATTGATTAATTACCTTGGTGCCATCATCGAGAGAATTGAGTCTGCAAAGCCTGGCGTAAATCCCCCTCTTCCCCAAATGAGAGGGGAAATCGGTGAAGATGCGTCGGAGGAGGACGGGATAATTGGGCGGCAGCTTGGACTCCCAGACGAAATCCGCGGAGGAAGCGCCACGGAAGGCGCGATTGAGCGTGGCGAGCTTGCAAATCTCGGGAGGGTTCATGTAGGTCATGATCTCAGCCACGCAGCTCTCGGGCAACTCACCGAGCGAGGACTTCGGCGGCGATTCCGACGGCTGGGAGGAGAATCGGAGACCCATTGATGAAGGTGGGAGAAAAGGAGAAGGAGAAATAGTGGTTGTGGCGAGTGCGGTTGGGTTAGGGTGTTGGTGCTTTGTATGGAGATGGCTCCACGCGGAACAGTTGTGTTGGGACTTGGTATTGTATGTAATATGTAGGTGACTTCGTTTCGTGGGTTTGTTTGTTTGTTTTTGCGAGACAGCGGTATCTGACTTGGACTTGACGGGAACCACGTCGCACTTATAATCCCAACCAATTTTACCATTATTCCACCGTAACTTCTAAGCCTCATTTTTTCATTTCGTTAATCAAATACTACAAAAGTCAAACACACCTCCATTACCCTTGTCCAAATTAAACCTCAAATTTCAAAAAAATAAAAAATATTTATATATACCTTTTAAAGATAATTTATCAGAGTTTTCAAACAGAAGTCAATTAATAATAACATTAACAAATATTTCTCTCTAATAATATGATAAAAATAAAGGTAAAAAAATCGTTTATATTTTAATGAAATTAATTAATTTTAATCACTATTTTGAAAACTTTATATATCATGAATCTGTTGACTTTTATAAATATTATTTTAAAAACTCATGATTTTTAACAAAATAACCGTATAAAAATATTTTATATTCAGAATGTAAAATAAAAGATAAATAGATTTTGTAATGTATAGTCATTTTTTAACTTTTATAAGTCAATATAAAGAAACATATTATCCATATATTTGTAATGTGTTGTTTATCTTTTTATAGAATATAGATTTTGTTTAATTAATTTTGTAATGGTTAATTGAGAGTGTCTCCCCGCGTCAATTACTATTTTTTAAGAAAATATCCTTAATTATTAATTACTTTCCTTAGTGAAAGAAAATTTAGTTAAAATGCATTAATTTCTTAAATTTTTTAGATTCTTATAGAAAAAGATATATAGAAACTTAATTATACTTGTATATAAATAAAATTGAGAAAGTTTATCTTTTCTAGTGTAAAATATCTAAAACGAATCAAAATATTTGAAAAAAAAATTATAACAAAAATTATGTATGGACGAATTAGATGATAAATATTAAGTCTAATTAAGTGAAATTGTAAAGGTAAAAGAGTTGGGCTAAATTGAGTTATTGGGATTAGTCATGTTGTATCATGTTGGGATGAGTCATGTTAGGTTAAAATGATTTAGGTAATGACGAATTAAGTTGGATCAAATTGAGTATACTATGCCAAAATGAAATAAATTGAATAAAGTCAGTATAAGATATGTTGAGTCAAGAAGGGTAAGGTAATAATAAATCATTCTGTAACAGAAATTGGGATGAATTAAACCTACCTTAGATAATTGGGCAAAACTTGATTAAAAAAATATAGGATCAAGTTAAGACATGTTAGATAAGGATAGATTAAATTGGGTCAAAATGGTTTGAATGAAACTAATATAAGATGAACTAAATAAAGAATGGTTTGATTGAAATAATTTTTGTATAATCAAAATATATCTAATTGGTTCAAACTAGGTAAACATGTATTGAATTAAATCGAGTTAAGTGATATTTATTTAGGTTGACATAAATTATTTTATGTTAGATAAATTAAAATTATCTCAATTATATTAAAACAAAGCAAAAATATAAAAAATAAAGAATTTAAAATTTGTAGATAAATTTTAAAATTATTTTTAAGCAATCAAAATATCTTTATCAAATTTTAAAATTTTAATTATTTTATAAATTATTTATAAAAATAATCAATTTTATTAAGAATAATTTAAAATACTAAAGTTTTCTACTTCATATTTTTTTTGTTTAAATTAGCTAAGATAAATATTTTATATATATTATTTTATATATATATATATATATTTCAACAATTAAATATGTTATTGTAATAATCTTATTTATTTATTATTATTATTATTATTTATAGATGTTAAATAGGAATATGAGTTGCAGAAACATCAATGGTTTATAATTTAACTAAGTGATGGACCATCATCCATACGCGTATGAAAAAAGAATAAAAAAATTTAAACAGGTTAAAAGCAAACCCATTGGTTTAAAAAAAAATGGTAAGGAAACACATTTTTCTTTAGGGAAACGGGGAAGGCAAGAATATTTATATACTATATAAAAGTATATTAGTTACGAGTGAAGAATAAATCTCGTTATCGTATTTATTCCATTTATACGGTATTTTAATTCTTTATTCCGCCACCACTTTTGTCATTTTCAAATTATTATCGTCCCAGTAATCTGAAGAGCCACCGTCCACTTCTACATTTTAATTATACAACTCATAAAAAGTATATACTTATGCCATAATATATAAGTTAAATCAAACACCATACACTTCAATTCTATAACACTATAAATCACATTCTCACATCCGTACCTGAAAACATAATATAAAAATATAAGTGATGTCCACAAGTTCACAACGTTCGACGGATTTGGTGACTTACGTGCAGGTGTAGATCAGCAAGGTTCTCCACGAAGTTAAAGAAAAAAAATAAATAAAAACTTACTCAACATCAATCATAAACTTTCAACAAAATATCTTACCTGTAAAAAAAAAAAAATCTAAATCCACCGATGAATGACAGGTCCTAATCTGAGTTTTTCTCACCTAACCATAAGAAAATTTATCCAATGGAGGAACGTGTGGTGTGACAAAGGAAATGAAGATATAAAAGATGACAAATCTTTGTGCAACTTGTCCTGCTCAAAAATGTCGATGCAGACATCAACGATGCATCTTAGAATTAAAACTTCATGTTTACCTAGTGTGGGTCACCTTCGGTGGGTTCTCGTCTTTTCTTTTTATTCTATGTATTTCACTCCCGTTTCTCTTTATTTGCGGCAAATGTTTTTCAACATTTTTTGTTCTTCTTATATTTATCAACTATTTCCTTAAAAAAAAAAATGAATGATATATTTGTTTATGAATATAGGTTTTGTAGAAGATTAGAAAACCAAATTGTATTTTTTAGTGATAGTAAGTCAATTTAAACTGAAAATCAAACATAGTCATACTCGCTCTAAACTGAAAAGAAAAAGGTTTTATCTCGAGTTAAAAAGGTAAATTAAACTTAAAACCCACAGAAAAAATATATTTACGCACATATGTCTAGATACATTAATATTAAATGCAGTAATTATTTTTCAGAAAAATGAAAATTTCCTGTCATGATACAATGAATAAAGAAATCGAATTCGTTGCATAAAACTTAAATATACCGTAATCATTAATTATGAACCAAAATATCTTGTATAACAACAAATCTGAATACGGTGGTGACCCTTAAAAATCCCTGAGTCGTGAACATAGTAATGATTCCTAATCTTGATTCTGTTGACCTTATTTAAAAGAAAAAGATATATTCTCTGATTGGAATGAATGGTGACAACAAATGGACGTGAAAGAGAACAAATCCTGCTTTAAAATGATGTGGACATCAATGGCATATGCTAAGGTTAACGGACTCGATGTTTGCCCAACCATTGCCCAATAATTAGCATTTTGCTTCAAATAATCAACAACACAATCACTTACGATGTAGGAAGTTGTATATATTTCTCCTTTCATATGAATTTTGTTAAATAATATTGGTATTTCTCTTTCTTTATTTTATATTATTTTTAAATAAAATAAGGTGTAAATTTCACTTTATTAGAGAATTTTATTCATTTTATTTTTTCCTTCTATATATTATACAGTGTAATTACAAATTTAAAGGATTCAACCAATACATTAAATGATCCTACAAAGAAGAACAGTTTATTTTTGTTATTATCATTTATATTTTTATACAAACTTTTAAAAAGTAAAAATAAAGGAAAAATATGCAGACGTATTTTGTAATTAAAAATGAAAATAGAAAATGTTTTTTTCAAATCAAACAACATATAAATTAAATGATCATTGCAAGAAGACTAGTTTAATTAACAAAATAATTATATATATATATATATTAATATTAATATAAATATAAATATTTTACTTTAAAAAAATTAATTGCTTAAATATTATTTTCTGATGAGTTGTAAATATCTAATTGTATTTAATATCTATTTTTGTTTGCTTCTTAATGAAACTCAAATGGCCTTTTTGTAAAAAGAAAAACAATTCAATTCGTTGCATTCAATTTTTTTGAAACTTGCATCTGAAATAAAAAGACTTACGTATCTAAAACAGGCCTTCATAGATGGATAGTTGGATAACAAACTGAGTTTGCCCATGAAGCTATTGACTGGATCCAATCCAACATGAAAAAATTGGATTGAGTTTTTTGGTTCGACTCAAGAATGTTAATTCAATAATCTATGCCAACTCAAATCTGGGATTATAGAAGTGTTTTAACCTTTTAAACGTATCAATTGTTTTAACCTTCTGACCGCATCAACCGTAGTGTTGTTGTTGTTGCAAAATGAGAAACAGAAAAGACAAGGCAAATAAGGAAAACGGAACTGAAAATGAAGAGCAGAAGCAGAGGGACACAAATGACTGAATTCATTTAAATCTGAAGAACTTGGGGAAGTAAAGAATGACTATAAGAACAAATAACAGAAAGCAGTATTGCTGTATGGATAGGATACAAATTGCACCAACTAAATTTTGGGCTATCAACAAAGAATGAAAGAATAATAATAATGGCCATTTCCCTACCTACAAAGAATACTCTCCCTGACCCTACCCTTTACGTGTGTCTATTATACCTCTGACTCTGAAGAAACGATGAATGTTTGAATGAAATGAATGAAGAAGAAAACGAAATCAAGTTGGGTGAGAAAAAGAGGAGGAGGTACCAGCAACATCAACAGGCACCCAAGCTGAGACAGTATACAATGGTTGGTCAAGCCAACTGAGAGTAACCGCTGTTGCTCCTTCCTTCTCCTGCTTCTTCACATTGTAACTCTCACAACAGTACATCTTCAACAGCAACTGACTCTGACTCATTTCCCTTTCAGAAACTCCCAAACATCTCAACCCTCCTTGCTCCACCAGCATCCTCCTCCACTTTCCAAAACCCTCGTGCCTCTCCAACCTCTCCCTCCCCTCACATGCCACTATGTTCCTTATCTCCCTACCGTACATCTCCTCTATCTTCAGCCTCACTGCACTCTCTTGTGCAACCCCACTCTCATCGATACAATCAAACAATGCTGAGTAATACTTCAACGAGTTGCACACCCTTGCTTCTAACCTTGCCTCGTTGTGTTCTGCTTCTTGTTCAGCCACCACAACCACGCTGGGATTGGTGCTGCGGATAAGCCCCAAGAAGTCCCTCAAAGCTCCTCCGCTTCCGTCGTAAAGCGTCTTGTGCAGCTGCAAAACGCAGTTCACAGCCACCGTTTCGTGCTCCTTCACGTGGAGCATCCACAGCCTCACGTCTTCCAGTCTGTCCACGACGGGGTGGAACTCGAAGGGGAGGTTAAGTGCTTCGGCGAAACCCGCGAGTCTGTCTCCGGTTTCGTTTAGCTCTTGCTTTGACTCTCCTATCCCCGTTATTCTCACGTGACTCGGAGGATTTGCTCTCGATGCTAGGCTCTGGAACAAGCTTGGCCATTGAAGACCTTGCTTGATGTCAAAGTCTATTATGTGAACCCTGTCTTTTCCTTCAAACGCCCTCAACAGCATCTCGTTCGATGTGAAATGGATGAACTTGGGGATTGGGGTCACCTGGTTGAGAAGCCTCAATGTAGTTCCGGTTTCATCATCATCCACCATGTCTCGGGAATTGGCGGTGATGTGAAAAACATGAGGCCAAAGCCTTGTGACTCTGATGGCCAAGGCTTCTGTGAAATAAGCACATATGCGGCTTATGGGGGTTCCTTTTGGAGATGCAAGATCACCCAGTTTTGCGATGAACTGGTTTATAGCAGCGACGTTTCTTGATCCAATGGCATCGACGCAGCCAGTGAGCAAGCTAACGAGTTCTAACCCGTGATGATCGTCTTCTTCCCCTGTCTCCACCTCGTGGTGATGGTAAGGATTCCCTGAACCGTTGCCCACTTCATGTTCTGACGCGTTCTCGTTTAGCCGCTGGCTTTGGCTCTCTGAAGAAGCGTTGGAGATTGAACCTTCTGTTGGATGGTCGCTGTGATGCTGGTGAGGACGGTGGCTACCCTCACCGAAGTTGGTGATCTTTGTTACACATGATTCCAGCCAAGGGTTTAAGGGAAAAGGTGCCGAATGAGACACCAGTCCGGAAGGAACAAAACAAACCCTCTCTTCCTCTGAGGAGAAAGCAAGTGAAGTGTTAAGCCCTCCTAAAGTGTGACCCTCAACACCAGGCTGAAACCAAAAGTTATCACCAGAACTGTCGCTCTCAGTGCTACCCTTTTTCCTCTTGGCTACGTTGGTGAAGTAGTCATCGTGCTCCGCGAGCCTTTTCAAACTCTTGTCCTTGATGGACTCTTCCACCAATGGTGGTGGTGCTGCTGCTGTGATGGCCAAAGGTGGTAGACGAATGTTGTGCTTGAGAGAACATGTGCTGCTCTTGGCTTCTATTGGTTTCTCCACTGAAAGCCCCACTGGCCTGAGGGGCTGCGAACGTGAAGAGCTGTCTTTGCGAGTGAAAGTGGAACATGGCAAATCCAATCTCTGCGTGCTCATGGAGGGTCGCTGGAAATGGCAGGCTTGAAACTGTGCTGGTGCTTCGCTCCTCAATCTGTGGCTCGGTGACAACAATGTCGAACTAGAACACCCAGCCAACATCGTCTATGCTTTTTGAAACGCCTGTTGTTCCACTCACCCCAATGCTGCTGCTTCTCTTTCCCTTCCCTTTCTCTTTATCTAGTAAGAACTTTGATCAACTATGCAAAATATGTATCTATTCTTTTCCTCAAAAATCTTAATTTGCATGCGGTATGTCAAGAAGAGAAAAAAAAATGCAGTGTGACAATCTATGTGGGTGTGTGGAAATTTTCTAACGAATTCTTTTATGTCCAATGAAACAATTAAAAAACAAAGGAATCCGATGAATTTAACAAACTGTTGTGGTTGGTTTTATCTTTACAAATTCCAAGTGTTCCTATATGAATTGAATCTGTGAATGGGAAGTAACTGTAATGACAAAAGAATAAGAAGTTATTGGTATATGCAGGAAAGAATGAAAGAATCGAAGAGAGTAAAGAAAAGTCCTACATAAAAGCGATCATCGGATTCCAGAAGCGTTCAAACAAGGGACATTAGGAAGTGTGACGTGGTTTTTAGTTTACAAAGAAGGGATGAGAAACAGAAACATACACCTTGGAATTCGTGGCTGAAGAAGTCCTGAGAAATAGTGAAATCCATATTAGCAGTGGAAACGTTGAACAAGTCCGTCATTGCAGCAGCGGGTGAAGCAAAAGCCAGAAACCCCACCTCTGAATGCACTTTAAACATGCATTTGCATTTGCATTTGCTTTTGCTTGAATGAAGTAGAAGAACACAAGACTACTACAACCCCCCCACCCCCTCTCACTTACCCAAAAGATAACACAAACCTTTACCAGCGCTTTATATATCGCAAACTACATACGGTCTTCCTCCACCACCATGTTGTGGTATACACACTTGTTCTTCAACACTCCATCAACGCTAGCACAGTCTCCATCATAGTAGGTAGTTGTAGTTCCCCTCTTCTCTTCTGGGCCTACGAGTGCTTTCATTTACCAGCACGAGAGGAAAAAGAGGGAATATGATGATGACAACATGCTTGGCAAAGGGAGGGAAAAACTTTGCTCCTCACCCGTCCGATTCAGATCCAAGGGTCCAGAGGTTGGGAGTTATATTACCGTTGAAGGATGTCGGTGAAATATGACCGTTGGGAAGGGGAGTTGGTGTACGATAATTCATGGCACTGAGACTTTTCACGTGCCACGTTGCACGTATTGTCCCCTGATATCCGTTCACTTGACCGTTACTTTTACATCTTATAATTACACTACTTATAAATCCTTTTTTATAATGCTACTTTTTATTTTATTTTATTTTTACGTAAACTATTTGTTTTTGCATTTTATTACCCTCACGCTTCTTTTGTATGAAGATCATACTTCCATTTAACAAACACACCTTTTCATTTTTTTAAGTACAGTTTGCAGAGCATATTTTGTTGTCATCATGGTGTCTACCGGGACACGTGGCACACGAGTAGAGAAGGTCTCGGAATTGGATTCTCCACCTCCTGTTGACCATTGATGATGACTTGACCGCTCTAGTCATTTTGGTATTTTTTTTTTTTTCTTTTCACACAAGTTATTTTGGTGTTTAGAAAGTGAGAAGAATAATTACCAATATCTATGCTAATCATATTAGCATTAATTTATTCAATTATATTTTTTTTTCTTAGAGATGTTCCATATTATTTAAGACCAAAATTTAATCTATGCATAAAAGAAATTATATTTTGAACAAATAAAAGTGAAATTCGTATCTATATTTTAATACTATCAAATAAGATGTTCCATATTCTTCGTTTGTTTGGTTTCTGTTTTAGCTAAAGGAAAACCATGAAAGAAATACTATCTATTTTGATTCATTTTGTATATATATTAAAATAAACGAATCTATGTTTTGATACATATAAAATGAAATTTACCAAACCAAGCTACCTAGTTATTCGTTAGTTTGGTTTATCTTTAACTAAAAGAAAACTATGAACATAATACATGTGTTTATCCAAAAGAAAAGTATAAACAGGATACTATCTATTTTCATTTGATTGGATGTGTACTGGTCAAAAGAAACCATAATTTTAACTAAAATATCATATCCATTTATTTGGAAATAGGAAAATGTAGCAAATGTGATTTAGCAAAACCAAGCTATCTAATTCCTGATTGATTTAGACAAAAAATAAAAATAAAAATTGAATCAGATCAAGTTATGGGTAACCACCTCAAAGTGCAGATCTTCAAAGAATTTATATTCCAAAGTCTATTAAGTATTATGTGCTTCGTATAATAATTTCTTTTATTTTTTAATTAACAAGTATCTCGTGTACGGTACGAGTGAGTTTAACCTTTTCTTTTCTCTACTAAAAGCAGATTAAAAAAGCACAAGTAGGCAGTAAATTGCAAATAAAAGAACACTTAATTTCATTAATCATGAATTATTTCAATCTTATCGCAAAATATACAAAACATTGGGCATAAGGATTAAGTCATCACAAGTAAAACTGACAATACTGTACTTCATGTAGATCTGTAAATTTATAGATTGCATCACCCAAACAGTACAAACCCAGATTAAACTAAAATGCCACATCCGTCTGAATATTGTGGTTCATTTTTTTAATTTTAATTTTAATTTTAATAAACTAAAAACTTCAACATTGTTTTGTAGTAAATTGCAACAAGGCATCAGATTAACTCCAAAAACAAAGCTTCTTGCTTGTTAGTTAGGCCAAGTTCAGCTAGGGTCGCACCACTCTCTCCATCACTAAAAGCACGCCTAGGATATGGTCTCACCTGTCCCAACAATTACATCAAAGACAACAGTCACATTAAAATGTACACTACAAATTAACCATTTCCCTAAAAAAATTGTATCAATAATTTAAGAGTAGGAATAATAAGACTGAAAGGCAATGGGATTTCTCACCAGTCTGTAACTGCCTGGTTTCACCACCCTACCAATATCTATGAAGTCGAACAGAGACTGAAAATTTCCAGAAGCAAGTTTAGCACAAGTATGCACAAAAAGGAAGGGGAAAAACAGTATAACAGGCCATTACCTGTAGCCTATTAGATTTTAGGAATCTGCGACCACGACGGTTGCCATCTGGCATTTTTACCATCAAGTTAACAGCATTATCATCATCTGAGGATGGTTCTGGTGGCAGTGAGACTTCTTTAGCTGCTAACAGTGTTTCCAATTCCTGACACAATTTGAGCAAAATGCAAGACTAAGAAACTTGAAAAAATTTGCTTATTTTCCCTAAGAAATAATCAATTTATAACTAGGATCTGCCCAAGGCCACATATCCAGGATACAGAACAAGAGATGTATGGAATACGAAATACAGAATTTTTTTCTTGGACCATGATGTGTGGGCCGGTTCTTAATTGACCAATATATACCTGAATTTTTATTTTCCAAAACTAGCTCAAGAATCTCTAGTTTCAGCTAACATTCACTCTTTGAATTCAATGGAAAAATAAATCCATTCTTTAGAAGACACAATATTAGAAAATATGCCTTATAAAAGGATAAGTGTCAAGACTTGATAAAGGAAATCAATGGCAACACAAGCAATTTAGCTATAAAAGTCATTTCTAGTGATTGCGTAGACTAAACATAGACTCCCATCAGCAACAAGGTGGGAGGGATTTAAGCAAGGGGTAATAAAAAGAAGGTGCAATCAGTTATAATGCCCTACCTGCTCTTCCTGTAGTTTCTTGCGAGATTCTTCTGCTCTCCGCCTTTCCTCTTCTCGAGCAGCCTTGGCTTCTTCTATGGCCTTCAATTCTTTTTCTCTGTCTGCTTGTAATGATGCAAGATATTCATCATCCTGCACAATAAACAGACAACAAAAGCTACAATTAGACCATTAACACCTACAACTCCGACCTATTTGAGAAACAAGTCACACCTGCTGTTCCCTTATCAGGCGCTGTGCCGCCAGTGTTGGTGAAGGTGGGCGATATGGGGCACGAGGATTGAAACCCCGTTGCACAAATTCATGTGGTGCATAAGCATAATTATATCCGGTCCCTTCAGGGATTCCACCAAACATTGCAGCTTCAAGCATAACTGCTTCATCATGCTCCTCTGAAGATATGCCACCCCACTGCAATTTCATTGTAGTCAAAGATAGGGATATGGACACAGGAACAATTTGAGATGCAATGGCAAGAAATAACAGTAATCTTTTTGAAAAGGAAACAGTGAAGGCCAATACCTCATCAGAGGGGAAGGAATTTCTATTATGATGAGGATTACTGTTCTCCTGTGGTGCTGTGGTTGGTAGTGTGCTGGCCTCAGCAAATTCAACCTCTTTGACTGATCCTGTGGATCCAGAAGACATATGCCTAGATCTGTTCCTAACCAGTGGCTGCTCCTCTACATCTTCAGCTTCATCATGAAAGGACAAGCTTCCTGGCTGCAATCTAGAATCACCAGAATTGCCCATTTCAAATTTGAAAATCTAAGGGAATATACCTTGAGGTAAAATGCTTAGTTCAGTGCAGTCAATGCAGCAGAGTGCAACAGCTACAAGTGCACAACAAGCAAAATGTAAGAGATAATGTACCTTCCATTAGATGCCACTTCCCCTAGTCCAGTCTCTGATGACTTAGATGGCCCTGCTGGCGGTGATTCAGAATCTCCTTCCTGTACACGCAATGCCTTCTCTTGCTCAGCTGTCTGAACCAATTTCATGTTAGGAGCAATCCAGGTTCAAAATTTCCAATATAAAAGAATAGTCAAAGCTCTGCTCTGTCCTGGTGATAACACACTGATGAATTTCCTCGTATAAAGTACAAATTAGAGGGTTACCTTCAGGGACAATGAAACTGCATGGGCAAGCTCAGGATCCTCAAAATAAGATTGCCTTGACTGTGATCCTGATTCACTGGAGTCCTGCATGAAGTGGAAAATAAATACTAACCTAGGTATTTTGTGAGGCAAAGCACAATAAAATCCATCAAGAAATACACATACAATTTGTCTGCCAAGTTTGTGATTTCTGTAATTTTCCTCAGCCTCCCGTTTAGAAGCCTCAATTGCTGCACGAAGCATTTCTTCTTCTATCTCATTGCTATAATCTGGTAAATTCTCAGACTCGGGAGCACTAGGTCTGCTATTGAGTGAAGTATCAGCCAAAATCTTATGGTTTTGCTCATCTAGATGTGCAATCCGGGGAGGTGGAGCAGTGTCATCATCTTCATCATCGATTATGACAGTCCCATGGATATCTGGACCATGGGCATCAACAGTTCCAGTGACGTCTTCAATGGATGGAACATGAGAAGCTGGAGTAGTGGATTGGTTACCATCCTTAACCTCTATAGGAATCTCCCTTACCTCTCTAGGATGTGTAACAAATGGTGCCTGGAATGTTGAATCAAGAGGAGTACCAAAGATACCTCTCCCAATTGTTGGATCAAGAAGAGAAAATGGATTGAGATTTGCTGCTGAAGCTGGAAGTGATGGAATTCTGTGAATATCTGCATCATTTTGATCATCTACGTCCATGAAATCATCTTGAGGAAATGCAGTAGAGCTGTTGTGAGAACTGGTCATGAAGGAATAAAATAAAATATCAAACTCACAAAAATGAAGATTTAAGATGCAAACATTAAACAGTAATACAGTACAATGGGTTATATTCTCAATGATCACTTGCTACTAAGGGAAAAGAGAGTATACCCAGTCATTAGATTTCTATCTCCTTCACTAAAATGTGCATTGACTGCTTCATTGAGATTACCACCATGCTCCTGACATCAAATAATATTAACAAATGAGGAGGAGATATATGAACAACCACTTGACCCCACTGAAAATGTATCAAGTCTTTAGTTCAAAAACGTAGACATAACTCGTTCGGTACAAATATACCAGTCACCAGATACTAGTTTTATAGGATCAAAATCAGATCATCGGTGTAGATCAATTAAAAGCAATTACTCACATGAGAAGAGTAATGGATCACTTATAAAAAATTCTTATAGCAATAAGGAGTAAGAATTCAATCGCATGTATGAGCACCTGATAGGAAATCATCTGAGGTCAGAAAAATGGCTAAAATAGATCAGCTTAGTGCTTGGTCATGATATATGCGTGAACTTTCAAAGCATATTAAAATTAGGTGACCCTATTTGCTTGTTCACAAGAACTAGCATATACTCCAAAGCAGATTTCTAACATTATCCTTACTGTAGAAAAGACACTGAAACATATTGCCTTAATATTTAAGTTTATCTGCACTCTGCATTCCATTTTAACTTCATATCATCTTAAAAATCCAAAAGAAAATCACAAAAAATAAAATAAAATACTTCCTATATTCCTAGGATAATGCCCTGCACCCTATACGCAAGGACTTATGTTTTCATTCACTTAAATTGTACCTCTATTAAAGCCTATATCCATGAACTGATTATAGAAACTCCAAATTCCATATATTTGAGAAGAAAAATAAAAATAAAAATAAAAATACGACTGCAAATTTCACCAAAAAGAAGAAACATGGGTATGCAAGTCGAGTCTCATTTGCAGAATTTGAAAGCAAATAGTAATAAACATTAACAAATAATTAAAAAATAGTTAAAGTCATCAAGCAATGCACAAAAACCCTAACTTTAATCAAATAAACAGCAAATAAAAATTCGTTAATTTTGTTCCTTTCGATCCCAATTAAAACCTATTAAGCACTTTCACAATTGGAAGAAGAAAATACCTCGAGTTTTTGTAGCGCTACTGCTTCCGGCAAGCCAGTTATGCTGACGAAAGTCGCAACCGCCTCTTGATTAGGCCTCGCCATTGCAATCGAAATTGTATGGAACAAGAAGCTGCAAAATTCGAGCTTTTTTTTTTTTCTTTCCTTTGTTTGAATTAAAAAGAAAAAGAAAAAGATAAAGAAAATAAAGAATTTGGGTGTTGTGGGTCTCAATAGAGAGAAAGAGAGAAAGGGTGGATGGGCCTTCAGAGTGGTAGTTTCTTCTGGACTGGGTAAGAGGGTGAAAGAAAGTGTTTGGAATTGCTTGGTTGTTGGCTATTTGTATCTCAATGCAACTCTTCTTGTTGGACAAGTATGCTCTCAAAATGCATCCACGCATCCAACTTACTTTGTAACTACGTTTCAATAAAAAATTAGGGTTATTAGGACAAGTAATTATCAAATTATCATATTAATTATTTGATAATTATATTTAAAAAACTTTTTAACTATTTGATACCATACAAATATTTATACTAAATTTGTTTTATAACCATATAAAATATTTTATTCGACCAAAATAAGATATATATATATATATATATATATATATATATATATATATATATATATATCTGCTATATTTATGTCTGAAACGAATTAATGTCTAATTGACTGTTAAAAATATATCTATATACTCGTATATAATTGTATAAATATTCTAATTTTCACTTTATCCTTGATAAATATTTTATTTTCCATGTTTTAAAATATTCAAATAACACAGCTGTGTAATAGTTCATAAAAATGTTACTAGCATAGTAATTGTAACTTTTTTTTCTTTTATTTAATGTGATATACAAATTCTTTTAGCTATTCATAGTACAAATTTGAGAAAAATATTTTATCCAATTATTTTTTCTCCTTGTTGAAAGTTTTTTTTTTCATGCTACTTCAAGTTTAAAAAAATAAATATCACACATAAAACACAGGAGATAAATGTATCAATATTCAGATTTACTATTCGTCTCTCAGAATCTACACTCAAAAGACAAAATATCCTTCTTTTAATTTTTACTTAAAATCTAAGGGATTTGTTTTTCATAACTGAAAGAGCGGGTTGTTTATTTGAGCTGCTCGAAAAATTATATAAATAAAATATTAAGTTAAATAGTTTTTGTAAATGTTATTTTCTATGGTAAAATTTTGTAGGTTTTGATTGAAACTTTGGTACATTTTATATCTAAAAGTGGAATGAGATAATTGAAAAGATAATGAGTAATATTATCTTGTAAAAATTATAATAAGTTAATTTTAATTTTGAATATTTTTAAGCTTAAAATGGAAAACAAATTGTAATTATGTAAAGGTGTTGATGAGAGTTTAGATAAAAAATAACTGATGATAAGTTATATATATATATATATATATATATATATATATATATATATATATATATATATATATATATATATATATATATATATATATATATATAAAGATAAAATGAAAATAGAAAAATAAATTTATGTTATTTTGGTGTTATATGATGTCTTTATTATATGATTATATAATAAATGTGTTTTATTATTAGGTTTTAAGATGGAAAATATTAGAAATTGGGTAAATATCTCGCATTGAACTTTGATTTTATTTAAATGCAAACATGCTTGAGCGATAACAAGACGATAGAATAAATAGTGTGAAGCAATAACAATTCTCACGTAACAATCAAATCGGTTTAATTTTAGCTCAATATGTTTTATGAAGAAAACTCAACTGAAATTTTTTAACTCATAACTCATAAATATTTATATAACAAATTTTTTTTCATGGTACAAAGTATGCATGAAGATTTTTATGATGATATAATAGGGTTGAGTATTTTTAAGATATTTTTCTATTGACGCTTAGTTAAACCAATAAAATTATTCATAATCAATTGATAAATATCTATGTATGAAATTAAGAATATAATTTATAATCAATTGAAACGTTTGTAATTATGGGTACTCGAAAAAGTATTATATAGTGTTAGTGTTTGTTTGTGTAAATTTAATAAGAAAATAAGTTTCTTAACATCTTTGATAATGTAGATTAAGATATTAATAAGTAAAAAAGTGATAAGGGGATTATTGATCAATTGTGTTGAGGTATTATAACGAATAATGTTGTCATTAGTGAATCAATATCATAAATAGTATATTTTTAAAAAAATTACTTAAATAGAATTATTTTGAATTTATTTATCCAATTAAACTTGATTATTGTTCATACACAAAATCCAATAAAATAAATAAAATTGTTTAACATAATATACATGTTTTCTCTATTTTTTTCATTTATTTAATCATTATTTTTTGCTCACTTTATCTTATTATTCAATTAAAGATAATAAATTAAATTTTTATAACATAAGTTCTTTTAAATAATTCATAAATATTATAATTTAATATATTATATTTTAAAAAATATTAAATGATAAATGTGAGATGTTACAAATATTATTATTATTATTATTAAGAAAAAATAAAGTATTTTTAAAAGTATTTTTCAATAAATATTTTTTATAATTACCTAATTTAATTAATTATCATAATTCAAAATTATTATAACTAAATATAATTATTAAATAAAAAATATATTTAATTTATAAATAATTGATATTTTTAATTAGATGATTAATTATTTATTATGATAAAGTAATTTTAAATTAACTATTTACATCATCATAAATAAAATTATTCATTGTCAAAATAAATCAAATTATTTATTATCATTATAATTTTAAATAATTAGTTAATATAATATAAATTTAATATTATTTTTAAAATATTTATTTTAATATATTTTATTAAATTTTAATATAATAGTTTAATTAAGAGAATAAGTAAACAAGAGAAAAATAAAAAAATGAGATAACACAATAAAAGAAAGGAATAAAAAAAGAAAAAAATTATAAAAGAAAAGAAAAATGATATATAAACAATAAATAAGTTTATTTAAATAAATAAATTTATATAAGTTTTATTTGATAATTTTTTTAAAATATATTATTCATTCGTCGTTGGTTTTATGATAGAAAAATCAAATAATATTAATAATTGTGGAATATTAGACTAATATTATATTACATATTAATAATGTGATATGATGTAATGAGATATAAATATCTAATATTATTGAATTAAGTGAATAATTATCATTTCAATAATTTGTTTATCTTTATTTATTTTTTATACTATAATTGTGTGTGATTAAATGTGAATAGACGACATTGCAAAAAGCAACCCATTGCATTTGGACAAGAGAATTAATCAAAGATATGATTATAATAAAAAATTTGTACACATATTTATTATTAATACTTTATATGATTTTGTATGCGTAAAAGTTATTTTCTTATTAAATATCTATTAAATATGACATATTCTTTTATATAAAGATAATAAAATTTATTTTTTAATATAATATATTATAATAATAGTGATATATAAGATAATTGTAATAATATTTTTTTATATAATTATTTTATTTTTTATCCAAAAGTTATAAACTATTATTAATTATAAACAACGGATAATAATATATATATATATATATATATATATATATATATATATATATATATGAGAGTTTTTTTTCTAATACGAGACATTTTAAAAAAATTATGTTCGAAATTTTATATTTATTAATTAATGTTTTTTTTATATCCAATAATATATTATTTTTTATTCCTATTTAAATTTTATAAATAATTATAAACCTAAAAATAGTAATCATGCTTATTTAATCTAAAATATTTTATATTTAATGAATTTTTACTATTTATAATCCAAATATATGTTAATAGACTTTGTTATATATACATGTAAATATAATAACTCTATTTTTTAATTATTTTTTTAAATATTTTTGTATCTTTAAATTTTGTTGAGATTTTAATCAAAATTATCTTTTAAAAAATTATTCTAATTTATTGAATTAAAAGTTTTTTTTTTAATTTTCTACCATGATTCGACTCCTATATGATTAAAACTATAATTTTAAATGCTTAGTTGTTAACTTAAAAAAATTAAAAAACTATCTAACGTATTCTTACTATTTTTTTATCCAAATCTTATTTAAATATTTCACTAATTACGTTTTTTTTTACCCTTTTTTTAGTAATAATAATTTGTTTAAGTAAAAAAAAAAGTTACACAATAGTCTGCTTTATAATAATCATCTATCCTATCACTTTTTTATCTAGTTTTTCTGTAAAGTAGTTGTTCTCTTTTTTCACTATTTTTTTCTAGTACAATATCGTAATACAATAATAACAATAATTATAATAATTTTGAAGGTAAAATAATAATAAAAATGTGTAACAAAATTACAAATTTATTTGTTTTTAATAATTATTATGAATTATAGACAATGTCATTATATTTTTATTCTAAGAAAAAACTGACTATAATTATCAATTTCATTTAAAGATAGTAAATTATTGATTTGTATTTTAAGTTTTCTATACAGTTATAGAAATTTAAGCAAAATATGATTTTATTACACAGTCTATTATATAAATTTTTTTGAAAAAATCGTCCATCACATGGGACAACATACTGGTTTATATAATGGTTAATATTTACATTCAATGCAATTAATCATAAAAAATGACAAATATGCATAAATTTAATTTATCCAAAGATTTAAAATCTACATTGCACATTAAAATTTTGAATTAAAAACAAATGATGTTTTTTTTAAATTAAATTGTTATTGTTTTAAATAAACAAATGATGTTTTTATGTATTTAAAAACTAAGGTATATTGATAATATGGCTACTTAATTTTTTAAAAATATATTAATTTTTTATACTAGCTGAGCCTTAAAATATTATAATTCATCTTTTTATTATTATATATGTTTTATAGAAAAAAGTAAAACGACAGTCGTTTTGGATGAATACCTTCTCCGAAAAAGGTAGAGGCCGAGGCAAGGGAAGCAGTCGCTAAGCTCCGATCTGAAGAAACAGCACGTAAAGGAAGACGAATATGGCAAAGAAGAAGAAGGTTTCGTGGTTCTGGACTTGGGTCATAGGTTCCGTCGTTTTGAGGCTCATTCTCATCTACTTCCCCGAAAACCTCAACCTCTCTTCTCGCCCCGAAGTCTCCACCCCCCTCACCAGCCTCCGTCGCCGTATGCTCTTCTTCCTCAACTACCTTTAATTCGTATATCCTGCTTTCTTATCAATTTCAACTCCCCTTTTTCGCAGTGGCCGAGGGTTACTGGTTGAAGCAGTTGTCAGTTTCACCCTATGCTGGTATTTCACTCTCTCTTTTTTTTTTTTTTTTTTAAGATTCGTACAGTCGATCAATTTGCATTATTCCTTTGTGTTGTGTAAGAAATCTCAGGCTATTGTTCGTGTTTCCAGGATCAATGTACCATGGTTCCCCCTTGTTATTGACACTTCTCGGCCCGCTCACAGTTAAAAGGTACCTGCTCTCAATTGTGTCAGATTTTGTTCCAGTGGTTAATCTTAATGGACTCGCTTACTAAGTTTGACATTCCTACGGTGTAATGACTTCGAATTACCTTGTTGATGATACAGAATTGAAGGACAACCTGATCATCTTTTATGCAGGTAACTTTCTTCGCCTTTCACTTAAAATTATTACTAGTATCTATACAGTAGTTTATTTCCAATTTCCGTAGCTCATGAATCGTACTTTTTGTGAACTTCTTTTCTCAATAATTAGTACCTATACTCGGAGTGCTGTTTGCCATTGAATCTTGTATGTGTAGTTGTTCACCCTTGTGTTCACTTATGTACGATGCATACTTTGTTAAACACTAAATAATCAACTCATTTCTGGATATAGTTTGGTTTTTGTTATTGCAGATGTGGTCAGTGCAATGCTTATATGTGCTGCTGGTGGAAAACTCCAGGTGGCATACAGTTCAAGTTTACAATTACTTGGCCTTCGTGATCTGTCAGAGAATTCAGGTTGTTAGCATGTACTTCCAGTGTGATTATGGCCGGCTGTGCTTCTCCCATTTTTGTTTGTTATTTTTAAGTGATATATAGAAGTAGTGATAAATTTGAAATCGTACAATCAAATGGACATTTTTATTTTTGTGCACGCCGAATAACAAGAAAATTGTAGAATACTTGCATGAAGATTACTGGATAGTATAAACAATTAATATGCACAGAGTGCCCCTTTTGATTATTGACTTTGCTTTTCTTCCCACTTTTGGGTAGTGTGTTAAAAGTGAAAAAAACAAAAAAAGGTTAGGCAATGAAACACCTTATTGATCATTACATGTCTGTGGGGTTTCTGTGAAGAAATGGATGGTGAAGTCTGTGTGTCTGCCTCGTTTTTGTGTCATAACAAACATGATACTTTTATATGTACCACCCTTTCCTGAAAAAAGAAAATGTTTTACTGAATTGCTGAGAAAAAGAATAGGATTTTTGCAATTATTGTTGTGAAGGGTAGGTGATGATCATATTATAAAATTTAATGTTAAGATTGCCACTTCTGGCTGTGGATCTTTTTGAACTATCCAAAGTCTTTTTCATTCCTTTGATAGTAAGTTTACTGTTTTCAGAGCTTCTTCCTTCAGGAGATTTTGCTGCTCTTGTATACTTATGGAATCCTTTCACAATAGTTGCATGCGTTGGTCTATCCACATCTGCAGTTGAGAACTTGATGATTGTGTTATCGCTTTATGGTGCATGTTCGGGTAAGCAACTAATAACCTATGGCATTTAATTTCTTAACTTTTAGATTCTACTGACTCACTCCTATCATGTTTAATTCGTATTTGTTGATTGTTTTCTGATTAAGATTTATTTGCTTTCTAATTTTGAAAAAAATGGATTTTGCTTGGTATTGTTGTGTGCTGAAAAGTACTGTTAGTTTGTGCTTCTTGGGGAAGTTCTGATGAGAAGTACAGTGGGAATCTCCATTTTTAGCTGAAGGATTACTTCTGCAATTAGACTTTGATAAACAATTTTCCAATAATTTTTATTTATACTTCTGTTTCATTGAAATGTTTCTTGGTCTTAGATTATGTTGAATGTTGAGGAATATATGCATTTTTTCTCAGTTAGTGATAAAACCAATAAAACATGGCTGCTGAAGGGGGCTGAACTAGTATGCATATTAGTAAGATTGAACATCCTAAACAGATATAAGGAATTATTTTTCTTTAGGTATCATTCTTTCTTGTGTGTTTTCAGAAGAATTCCTCTGGTTTAGGTGACATACTTGAGCCTTGCATCTGACTCTCAATTTTGATGTTCAATATTCATCTTGTTTAAATTTCTTCTCTCCTATTTTTTCTCAGATGCATGGGCAGTATTTATTTGTTATTATTGCCATTGAATTTGCAAGTCTTCATCCATTTGATATCCACTTCAGTAGAAAGGTTGCCTATTGTTATATTCAACTAGCTGATTAGATTTTGGAAGTAATAGTGAGAACTCAAGAAGAAAAATCATTATCACCTTATATTTGTGGCCTTATGATCTTCATCTAATATTTTGTGTAATGTCAAAACTGTACTGATGTACAACAGGACTAGCTCCGCTGGCAGCTTTTGGATGGGTCATGGCTACACACTTGTCTCTATACCCTGCAATCCTTATTATCCCAGTATAATCTACAAATCTCTGTTCTCTTTAATTTACATTTTATCTATCTGTAGATACAAATAATATCCTCTTTTCCAGTTGATATTGTTATTGGGATATGGTCCTGACGCTCCTCCTAGGAAATTATTCTGGCAAAGGAATAGTCTTGAAGTTGGCACCTCAAGTGATATTTGTTCAGAAGAGAAAGCAAAGAATCAGCTAAAGGTTGCAGATGTATTCTCATGGAGGCCAGTTGTATCTTTTCTGCTGTGGACTTTGCTTTGGTCATCCTACATCTTAGTCCTTTGTAGTATTTATGTTCAACAGTATGGTGGTCTACAGGAGTTGTTCAAAAGGTTTTGCTTAAATATTCTTACCATTATTCATTTCTGACAACAATTTTTCAAGTGACAAAATATATATGCATATTTGTTTATTAATATAGTAGTTACAAGAATTTGGGCTTAGTTGTTAGTGAGTGAAGTGAAGATTAAAAGGCTGGGGGAGCTATTTTATGATTCAATGAAGAATCTGGAGCATCATGGGAAAACAGTTATACACAGTTATGACTATTCCTCCAAAACAGTTACAGAAGTACTGGGTTTTTAAATTCTGTCATTATGGAGGCATCAACAACTTTCAAAAAACATCTGCTATGTGGCCTCATAAGATTTAGAAAATTTTAGGCCCATATTACTGTTATTTGTGCATATAATACTGGAAGTTAGCTAATGTTGGTGTGAAATTCTGAAGTAAAACCCTTTTGAGAAGTCAAATAATCAATTTCCCAGTTAAGCCACTTTCTTGGCATTAATACACTATGCATGATTTTTCTTCTATTACAAAAAATAAGTATGCACATTTTTCAACGTCATTGCCTAAAAAGTAAATGAATTTAGTATGAAGAATATTAATATGTTTACCATGCGTTGAAGGAGGTTGATTCTACTGTTTTATGCTCTTTTAAAGAACGTTGAAATTTATATTATTTCTTTTTATTTTCTTTTGTTATTATCATTATCAGGAACTGTTAATGTCAACTGTCATAATTTCTTGCTTCATGGGAATAACAAGTTTTTCTATATCTTGTAATTAAACTTATAGGTTGTTTGTGCAGAACCTATGGCTTCATTCTTACAATACAAGATCTGTCCCCAAACATTGGTGTTTTGTGGTATGTTTAGAGGAAGGGAAACTACCATTTTCAGTGTAGACTTGAATGTTGTATTTCTCACATGAACTTTGGAACTTATTTCATTCTAATGGCATTTGCATACAGGTATTTCTTTGCAGAAGTCTTCGATTTTTTCAGAAATTTCTTCCTGATAGTATTTCATGGAAATATTCTGTTGATGCTAGCACCATTAGCCTTACGGCTTAATCACCGGCCATGCTTTCTAGCTTTTGTATATATTGTGATATCTTCGATGTTGAAGTCTTATCCTTCAGTAAGTTGTTTATTTTTTCAAGAGTTTCTTTTTTTTAACCTTGACTCAAATTAGCTCTTAGAATTTAAGCATGATGGTCTCACTTGGTGTTGCTGAAAATATTTTTATAATTTAGAATGAAAGAGAGGCTGTTATTCTATTAATGTTCAATGTATGATATATTGTATGCTTACATCGTCCAAAATAGAACTTATGATAAGTATGTTACACACTTGGAACATTCACATATACACACATAGAAGGGCAAAAATTAACAGTGAAATTGTAAATATAGAGCTGCGAATTTGACAACATTAAATATCCATCACTGATTTGTTTATTGTGTGAATTTTCTTCATGTTGGTATTTGATTGATCTGTCATCCATCTATGTATCTACCTACAATCTACTTGGAGATCCATATATAATGTGTTTTGTGTTAATTTGCATCATGTTGCAATCTGATTGATCTCTATACCATTTTGTCTATCCATCTAAATTGTCAGTAATCAGATCTAAAAAAAATCCATCAATGATGTGTTTATTTTCTGTGAATGTGTTATGTTTCAATCTAGATTGATCCCTGTAACCATTTTGTTTCCATTTTAACTAGGTTGGTGATTCAGCTCTGTATTTGGGTTTACTTGGGTTATTTGCTTATGAACTCAAAGGTTACTTCTCTTTCTTTTTGACCTTTTATATTGTGCATAATCTCCTATTGAATAATCAACTTCCTTGATTTTCAGATATGCAGTTTTCTTTCTTCCTATTATCTGGTTATGTTGGGGTTTCACTTCTTAGCCCTGTGATGCACAATTTATGGATATGGAGGGTATGGAGTTTTGTGTTGATCTACAATTTCAAATAGATTTATTCTGTTAGTATCTTCAGTTCCTCATTTCTATAATAAAATGGGCAGGGTACTGGGAATGCAAATTTTTACTTTGCGACTGCAATTGCTTATGCGTGCTTGCAGGTGCGTTATCTTTATTCATTGTGAATTCGCTTCTCCTCACCTCATTTTAATCATTGTTGTGGTATTTCTTTTCTTCACAAGTCTTTCTAGCCATTACTTCATATAAATGGAGGTCCTTGTCAATTAACACCTACCACACATTTTATCATGATCAGAATGGCATTTAATTTATTCATATTCCTTTTAAGATAATGTTTATCAAATGGTGCTAGTTGAAGTTATTTATATTTTCTTGCATTTTGTTATATTGTGGGCCAAAGATTGTTGCAAGCTCATGAACACGGCCCCCAAGCCTGTGTCTGGGACAAAGGTCCTGTAGTTGGGCATTTGGGGTGGGTGGGATAAAGAAGGGAAAAGGGTTGTAAAGTCTTGGACCCTTTTCACTTTGCTTAAAAGGTCAGCACTTCAAAACCAACTTAGCTACACCACCTGCACCTGAAGACTATATTCTGTTGATCTATGAACGAGCTCCCTGCTTGACAAACTAAGAAATTAAGCACCGCAATTCATCCCATTCTTGTGGTGTACTCCATTGCCATTTAAAATGCATTTTTCTTAAAAATTTGAGTCAATTGGTCTGAAGTTGGCAAGTTGTATTAAAATTAAACGATTTATATGTCATCCTGTAAACTTATGTATGCTTCTTACTTCTCATGTGGCAGATCATTCTTGTGGTTGAGAGTGTTAGTGCCATGCTAAATCACGATAGAACGCTCACAAAGTTATGTGCTGCAAAGGTTCAAACCGTCAAATGTTGAGAACTTTGAAGTATGATTTTAGGCGTCCATGGTATCCACGAGCTTTTCATGTGAACCCAGATCTCGGTTCCACGAACCATGTTGGTGCTACCCTTCAATTACTTTACTTATTAAATAGCTCCATTTATTTGGATGTAAGCATTTTTCGCCGTGTTTTTTAATTGGGACGCAACACTCTGCAGTCTTGGTGCTGAATGCCACTTAAAATGGAATAACAATTATGATATTTTATCGTGGTTCTTAGAGCTCTTCTGTTCTTGATGTACCATTTAAGATGACATTGTTCTTCAAATACAACATGAATGCGGCACGTGTTTATTTTATTTGTTCTGAATTCATGTTATAGTGAATGCACTTGTTGGGCGGAATATCTGGAGCTTGCCTAAAGTAATGAACCATGTCTAATGACAACAAAATCTCGGACGTATCTTACATTATTATCATCTCTGTAGTATGTGATATTAATCAAGCTTTTTGGTTGCGTCATTTGTGCTTATTACAATTCTGTAACACCCCTTTATTGTTGCTTGTCCTCCATTTGAATCCATTGTCCTTGCTGACAATTGCTTGATTCCTACGTTCCTTGGGCGGTACACATTCCTTTATCTAATCTAGTCTCTTCACAGATCAGCTTGCACAGTGAATTTCACATGTTACTCTGTCTCACTGCATATATTTGTATGAAAATTCTTACATGTGAAACAAGTAGTTGCGATGAAGCAATTGGGGCTTGTCGTATGCAAGAACAAACACCCGTAAAACGCGCGCTCTCCCTGCTGCATGTAAGGCTTTCACATGCACAATTGAGAGAGGTGTTGGACAACGATGGTCAACGACGTTTCTGTCCTATTTTTCCCTTTTGGACCGCAACGAGTGAAAAACAGGAACTTGGGTGTTAAAATGGAACCAAAGAATGTGCTTTCCCCCTTGCTATAGATGTTATTTATATTACACAACCTGCTTCCAAATGCAATGTAATGTTTGCCAGACAACGGTGTGATGTGATTACAAAAGACTTTACCTGGTTAGAGGTAAATTGAACTGAAAAATATCGAAACAAGAATATTTTTAATGAAGTGTTATCAAAAAGGATTTGGGTAAAGTACGTTTGATATATTATAATAATTATGATAAATATTTATATTTAATACAATTAGCATAATTTATTTAATTTTTATACAATATTAATTATTTTATTTAGTTTTTGACGAAGTGATTATTGAACTATCAAGTAATGTATCAGTAGGTTTAATTTTAATTATAGAAATGTTTGATTTCACGTAGATTATGACTAATTGTAAATGTGTATAATTATAGGTGTCAAGTAATGTATCATACACAATACTAATAATTTCTTAATCGGTTAAAAATTTAATAGAGTAATTAATAATATATAAATAAATTTTTTAATAAATAAATACTTTTTTAACTTATATTTAAAGATAAATATTGTAATTATTATATAAAAAATCTATTTTACCCTAACTAAAAATTGTGGTTGAATTGAATAAATAACTCCACAAAACCCATGGTTTGTGACGGAGTGCATTTCCTGACGATGGTCTTTCATGAATTGTAGTTATTTTTTCCTTTTCTTTATTAGTAGAAACATTACTCCTTTAAGTGTTTGAGTTGCCCAATGTTCCGATTGCATCTTCAATTCCGCAAAATAAATAAATAAATAATAATAATATATTATTTATAAACATGTAATGATGTTTACTTGACATAGATTATATTTATAAGATGTTTGAGATGAACTTATAAGTCTAATATAAGACTCCATGCCTTTAAAGGATAATATTAGCTAATTTCAGAGGAAAACATTATGAATTTACTCAACCACAGTGTGAGTTAGTTCTATTGAACTTGGATGCATATGGTGGTTCTGTGTACCAAAGATTGTATAGATGTCGAGACTTTTGAAATTAATAATTTGAGTTGATTCTTATCTTTTGGGCTAAGCCAGATTTTCAAGGTTAATTGTGGGGACGTAGGGTAGGATAAATAGAGGTGGGGGAAGGAAGCTTCTAGGCATGGAAAGGGGTGAGTTTTCTTTTCTCGATTCTTCCCTAATTTTCTTAATCATTTTTATCGAATTTCAGGTTGTTCCGTTCATGAAATGGTCATTATTTTATATATATATATATATATATATATATATATATATATATATATATATATATTAAATAATTATATTTATAATAAATAATTTTATAAATATTTATATATATAAATAAATATTTATAATTTTATAATTTTTAATTATTGTTGTTGTTTGAATATATTTTAATTTATTATATTTATATTATATATATATACCATATTTAATTATTTTTTTCTCTTATAGATATAAAATATTTATAAAATTGTTATTATTTTATACTACAACATTATATTTGAACGGTTAATTATATATTTAATTTTATTATTTTTTAAGTTTATCATTTAAAAATATTAATAAATATAAAATATATAATTTATAAAAAAAGTATTTAATAAATAATTTTTTATTTAATTAATACAGAATCGTACAAATTTAAATAAAATCTAGAATTATAATATTTGATAAAGATAACTGTAAATAAAATGATATTAAATATTATTAAAATTAATATAGAATATTTAAAGAAAAATAACAAAGAAAAAAATAATTTTATAGGTTTGACAAACTAACGGAAGAAAGTGAGAAAACAAATTGAGGCTACCAGAGTAACCTCTTTTACAAAGGTTAAAAAAGGTTATAAAATGACGATTTTGAATTCGTTGTCGTATATTACTCATGACCATCATATTTATAATTATCGTCATATATTAAAAATCTCATTTTACACGGTCGTAGTAAACCTAAAAGCTTTACCATAATAAATAGATAAGTTCCGTCATGATAATTATGTTCCCTCATTGTTACTCTTCTATAACTGAAGCTTTCATTATTCTCATGTTATTCCGTCACAATAAGCGTGTTAGCTTTCACCATTTTCTCATTACTATTCTTTTAATTCAGTTTTAACGCGTCCCGTATAACATTTTCCTCTACCTTCATCTCGACAAAATATTGTTCTTTACCTCAACAAAACGTTGTCTTTTACTGTTGTTTTCCCTTGTGACAACTTTAAGTGTGTTTGAGACATTTATGGTGGAGAGAAATACTTTGAGAAAGAAAGAAAAAAAGAGAAACAAAAAAAAGTTTAATCAGGATGAACAAAGGAAGAAGAGAAAAAAGAAGAAATGGAAATACAAAGATGAAATGAAAAGAATTGACGAAGCTACAAATTTTAACATGATATATGCCAATGATTTTGTAAACAACTGTCGTATGTGATATATAAAGACGATTACAAAATAATCATCATTAAAAAGTTAGACATACTATGATGGTTATAAATATAACTATGTTGGTATCTTGCACATATAACAATGGTTCATTTAAAATTGTTATTGTATGTGATATACGGCGATTCTATTTATAATCGTCGTTAACAAGTTAAAAATAATTTAAAAATTGTCACTACGTCTTTTTCAATAACAGTTTACATATAACCATTGTTAAAAGACATCGTCTTTTATCTATTTTGTACTAGTGTGAAGATATTGAAAAAATCAAACTTGTTGAAGACATAGGAAATGTCCAGTAAAAATCATCAGAGAAAGAGAAAAATATGTTGAATTTTAAGAGATTGAGAAAAACAAAAGAGTGAAGAGTAAGTAAGAAAAAAGTAAAAAGTGTGGAATAGAGAAAGAACAACTCTATATGTTACGTGAGAAAAAAAGAGAGATATTTAAAAGAGAATTAATATTTCAGGGTGTACTCAACCCAAGTGTCATATCGTCTTAAGCCTCATAATTGAGAATTAAGGAATATGAGTGGAGCAAGACTCTATTCTCGACCCCAAGACGGGTGTCAATGTTCCGTCTAGGAACGAGAGTGTCACAATCTCATGTTCGCTATAATAACATCGTTATAGTCAATTCTCATGTCTGAGGTATTGTTTGTCTTGACCTTGTCTGTCACGATTTTGTTCTTAAAGGATGTCTCGATGAGTTAAGAGAGAAGAGTATATATAAAATACCCATGACCTCGACTCCTAAGTGATGTAAGATTCATAAGCATATCAAAATATAGGGTTTATGTTTATATATAAAATTGAGACCGGATAAGGTCGAGATAAAGATTTCATTATCAACACTAGTATACAAAAGGCTTCTAATGTTTGTTATTTTAGATTTTTACATTTTACTAAGTTTCAACGTCAATGCGAGAGACGCAAATTTACGTTGAATTAACTAACGTAAATTCACGTCAGACTGGTACAAGATTTGACGTAAACTTTATGTGTCCCAAAATGAAGATGAATATCCTTCAATCGGAAGTTGTAATGGGGATGAAAGAATTGTTAGTGGAACGAATCATGTTTCCAATTAAAACGTGCATTTTAAAGGGGTTGATTTGGTTGAGAAAGAGAAAGTTGATGAAATGTATTGCTTAGCAAAGTACGACACATACTTTATATATATTAAAAAAAGATGGATTTAAATTTTTCATCGAACTTTTACTATAAGGTCTATTAAATCTCAATCAACTTTTAACAACCATAATTCAACGAAGATATTCATAAACTATTGTGATTGAGATTTCCAAAAATAATTACGACTTTAATTTTAATAAAAAATACAAACATACAATACTAACCTTGATCACATAATCAACACTTAAATGTTTCAGTTCAATAAAGGAGAAAAATCTAAAACAAAAAATATGTCACAATGATCGTATTATCACTGCACACAGTAGTCATAAAATGACTAAAAAAGTTATTACAACAGACAAAAGAAAACTCATGCATGTAAGAGCATCTCCAACCAAAAGGGGTTGCTTAAGAATAAAAGTAAATATTTTATTTTGAGTCCCATATTTGAGTGGTTTAAAAGTGAAAAAAGTTGTTTAAAATTGGAAGAAAATTGTTTGTATAAACAATTCTAATAAAGTTTTAAGCAACTCAATTGTGAGACTCATAATAAAATATTCAAATTTATTCGTAAGTAACTTTTGTTAAAAAAACCCTTTAGAGATGCTAAAAACAAAGTTTTAAAAAGGATATAAAACAAATTTTAGGTAAAACCATGAGAAGTTCAACATAAAAAAATTTACTTTAATTTAAAAAATATCACCTTCTTTTTTTTATTGGATAATTATTAATTAAATGAGAAAATGTTGATATAAAAAGCCTCTCTAAGTAAAAAAAAAACTCAAACTCGTATTAATACTTAATCAACTCAATTTTTTCATTAATCTCGAGAGAGATGGACTGATAAACAAGGATTTAATTATATTCCTATATATATATAATTCTTAGTTTTATCAAAACACATGGATATAACGTTTTTTTTCACCTAATTCTTTTAATAGTGAAGAATAAATTTTTAACCTTTAATATCATGAAAATATTTTATTATATCTATTACAAAATTGCTTGTGTAATTTTAAGACTCACTCGTTTAATATTCTAACAGGTTGGTGGTGGACGAGGATGAAATTATGATGTCATGATTTTTCTACCATATTGTCTTTCGGATAGTATATAAATTCTATCATGCATGAAATGAATTCAAACACATTGATAACTTTATGACTTATCGAATTTCTAACGTCGTTGACCACCAATCAATATATGCTATTACATATGGATGGTTTTTTTTTCTAATTAATATATATATATGTGTGTGTGTGTGTGTGTGTGAAAAATATATGCTATTATTCTGTCAAAAATTACGGAATATAGTCTTATATATAAGATACTAATTTAAAAGTTCTAATCCGACACAATTATATCTTTAAAATGATAGAAGAAAGATAGTTCATATAAATTATATCTAAATCGTAATAAACTTGAGATTAAATATCGTGATAAAAGTGGATTAGAACTCTTAAGAAAATAATCTTTTCAATATGATAATTGATTTTATTACTATTGTAAAAATATACTTAACGGTAAAATATACCGAGTTTCTAAACTGAAACATTTAATTCTTTAAATAATGGCTAAGATTATTTTTATTATTTAAATTTAAAATCAAAATTTTCGTAAAAAATATATTAGTGATAAATGTTCGGATGAACTGAAAATATTGTCATATTTGACTATTATTTGTGTGGTTCCAGTAGACCAGTGTGCGAAGATTGAAATCCATAGTTGAATTAAAAGTAACGAAGAAACGAGCGCAGTTTCAGTTAAAAGTAAGTGTAAGTTGAGATGGACACAACAAACCAAATGACGTTGCTTTAGGCTATCTTTTTTGGTGACTAATGAAATGAGTAAGAAGAAAATGTTTGGGTGACAGGCATGGCAGGAAGTGAGGTTAATTGTTTAGAATTAAGCAGGAGGGAGGGTAGTTTAATAATTGAGATGGTGGGAAAGTTGAAGACCCGTGAAGAAAGAGCGTGGCACATGGAGACCCAATGGAGGACCCTATTTGACCAAATGGCAGTTCACCAAAAACAAAAACTGGCTTCACTTTGACAATGCATGGAAGGGGATGGACCCACTCTGCAATCTTGTTTCTTTGTTTATTACTGCAAAAGAAACAAGTTGGAGCAGAGAGAGGAGGGGGCAAAGATTGTTTGGCAGATATGATCAGAGGGTTAAAACCATGATTGTTGCGTGCTTCTTTCTCCCTTGGTTCCAACACCGACCTTCCTTCTGTCAAGTGTCCCCATCAACCAACCTTACCATCCCAACTTTACGTTACTCACGTGATCACACTCACACCACTCTCTATGTTACTACCTACCTACAACCTACTGCTATACTATTATCATAACATAACATAACCATTGGCTCGTTTATTGCCTACCAATCAGTAACGTTATTCTCCTTTTTCTGTGCCCTATTCACCCTAAACCCTAACCCTAATCATCTCTTTTTTCTTTTGCCAATACGAAAAATGCTGTTGTTGTTCGTTGGTTTGGTCATATCAAACAAAATTTTGGTGCACTCATCAAAACCATTTTCATTAATCCAACCTCCCACTACTGCTCCACCAGCAATGACCATCTTCACAGCTGTTTCTAACCAATAAGAACAGCAAACCATCTTTTTGGTTCCTTTCGAAATGTGAAACTTGGAAATTATTTTTTGTAATACAACGGTTTCAAATGTGCATGGATAAGTGCATACATGGTTTTTGAGCATTTGTAGTGAAGAAATAAATCCAGAAAAAAAATGTTCCAGTTCTTCGGTTCAGTATATTGCAGTGTAGGAAGAAATCTCGATTCGACATATCACTCAAAGGGAGTGAAAAAAATTGACAAGAAATGGAGTTACTTAATAATAATTTTTAAAATCCATATTGAATTATTCTCAATTAATTAGGGCACGTTTATATTTTTTAAATATGATATTTTAATTTTGTTTTAACATTTTTTATTTTCTTTCTTTATTTAATTTTATAAATAACTTGATAAATAATTAAAAAATAAGAAGCATTGATGATAAAAACGATAAAAGGAAAAGTTGAATTGATAAGTAAATATGAAGTGTGGGAATTTGTAGGCGCCACCATCCATGGTTGCTGGGATCTCGAGCTCTGATTATCAAAACATTCTATTAAATGCTGCTCCGTTCTTCACTCCTCTGCTTCTGCCACTTCACTTTCCTCCTCCATTTCCTGATCTCACCATTCTCTCCCTCAACCTCTCCAAGACTTAGGTTATAGCATAAATAACTTACAATAATAATGATGTGATGATAATTTTTTATTAATAATGTACATATATTTTTTACAATTTTATTATTATGTTTACGTTATTTTTTGTAATTATCGTTATTATTATTAATAATTTCTTTTTTGTTATATTTTTTATAAAAATCATTTTTCTTATCTCTATTTAGAAATTCGAAAATGTAAATTTAAGTCATGTTTAACATTCTGTCGAGAAAAAATATTATTAAATGTTAAATTTAGGTATATAAAGATATTAAAGTTACATGTTTTATAATTTTCATCATTTTATGAATTTATAATTATAAAAATGATCCTTAAATATTAATTTTAAATATAACATAATATTAGAGGATTTATTTAATTATTTTGATAATATGAGAATGAAAAATATATTGCTTAAAAGAATATAAAAACCAAATGTTATAGAATAAACATATTATACACATGTTTTTACTAATCTACAGTATATATAGGAGATTCCCCTCCTATTATAGTAATAAAGAGGAAAAAAACATCTTATATAATAAGCGGAGAAAAAAAAAACGAGATATATTTAAAGAGTTGGAAAGAAAAATAAATAAATAAATAAAGTATATTATATATTAAATGATTATTTTTCATTTTTAGTGTTATATTTTAATATATTTTTTCCTTCATTTATACAATTTTTAACGATTTTCTCTCAAATAAAATTAATAAATAGAAATAATAAAAAAAAAATCGTTTTTTCTCTTCTTTTGAAACATCTTAATTATCTAGTTCACTCTCCTCTTAAAACTTTATCCCACATTTATTTATATCCAATGATGTATAATTAAGAATAAATATTTTTAATTTTTCTTTTTAAAATTTTTCTCAAATAAAAGAATAAAAATTATATTTTGTTTACCTCCTCTTAAAATACCTCAATTGAAAGTATTCACAGTCGAATAAAACAATAAAAATAATCAAAACTAATTTAAAAAATTGATTAAATATTTTTTAAATTAACTAATCAATTTTATTTTATTTTCAATTACTGCAATTATAATATATATTACTGAAATAAAAATATAACATGATACGAGTGAGATTATTAATTTTTTCTAATTTAAAACGTATATTATCATTTTTCAAATTGAAATTAAAAAATTAAAATTATGAATATCATATGTTTTTAAAATATGTTTATGATATGTTTAACAATTTTATAAGAAAAAAAATCACAAACACTATTTAAATCATACCATAACATATTGATTTGGTGGTTTTATTTTTTTTAAATGAAATTTAAACTGAATTATATTAGAATTTTATATTTTTCTCGATTAATTTTTTACTACAAAACCAAACAAAAATTGACATTTTGTTTGTTATTTCTCACTTAAAAAAAGAATAACTCTTTTGCGAGAAGAAAAATAATAAAAAGTACAATAAAGGTCTATGTTTCTACTAACAATTATAATCACAATAACAGCTCATCATTGCAATCATTTGTGTAAATATTATCTATTAGTTAATTATCAGGACATACATGATTATTTAATAAATTACATTTTTTAATTTTAAATATACGTTTTACCTATTTCCAATTAAAAAAATAGCTAATATAATTGAATTTTAATGCTCAATATAAAAATAATGTAACAAAAATAGTTAAATTTACTTATCTTAATTCACACATCATACTTTTTTTAAATGTTAAGTTTAATTTGAATCTAAGAAAAAACTTATAATAAATATCATTTAACAACTTTAAAAGTTTTTTTTATAATATTATTCTAATAAAAACGTCTTTAGTGAAATATTATTCTAATGGTATTCAGTCAATTTAGGGTTCATATTTCAAAAAATTAGGTCAGTACTAAACCAAATATTTTATCGGGTTAAATATAATAATTGATTTCTATATTGCGATTAAACGTAAGTATATAATCTATTCAAATATAATAATCAAAATTATGTATTATTAATATACTAAGTTAACCTAGGTTTAATACTAAATGTATATTTAAAATGTGATACATTTCCGGGCAAAGATAGATGTCCCTTAAAAAACAATCAGGATCAATGTCTCAAAGAAATTAGATAATATATATATATATATATATATATATATATATATATATATATATATATATATATATATATATATTTATTTATTTATTTATTTATTGAAGAAAGTGAAGTAAGGAAGATAACTTAGAAGAATATTTAAGGAAACAATTATTGATGAGTTATTCAAAACTAGCATCTAAGACAAGTTTCTCTCACTTTCCTGCATGTTTTATTGCTTTAATTCACTTCACTGCATTCAAATGTACTAGGAAACCTTGTTGCAGTAGTTCATTCAATCATGCTCGTTTATTTCTTTAATCTTTAATACTAATATTAAAGTTTTAAAGTAGAATATAAATACTCTGATAGTTAAAATATTTCTAATTTTAGAGTTAGGTCCATTTATAACTTTTTCTATTGTTTTCACATATACTGAAACAAAACACACAGTAAGCTGACATAAATTATTTGATGCCATTATCATGAGTAATAATGCAGCAAATAATAGAATGAAACAACCATAAGCAATAGATTATCCTAATATACAATATAACTAACACATGAGGCATAAAGAAATGAAACAAAAAGATGAGATGAGATTCCACTTAAACCTGAATGATTAAAAAAAAGGGGTAAAAGTTGGTTTGGATTAACGTCACGTCACAAAGGTACACCGTTGCTTCCTTTTACTCAAAAAACCCATTCCATACCTTCTCTTTCATTTCTCACTCCCAAGCTCTCTTCTTTCCCTCTTCATCTTCAACTTCTATACTCTTCTTCTACTTCTGTCCTTCGTAACAATTGCTGTTTATTTGTGTTTTTTTTTTTTTTCAAAACCCAAAACTACTCGCTTCTGAGAAGCAATGGGTAAGGCGTCAAAGTGGTTTCGCGGGCTTCTCGGTCTCAAAAAAACAGACCATAATACCTCACCGGCGAAGCCACCCAAAGAGAAACGCCGATGGAGCTTCGTTAAATCATACACAGAGAAGGACAACAACACTGCTGCCACGTGTCTACAACAAGGAAACAACAACAGTAACCATGCCATGGCAGTGGCAGCAGCCACTGCTGCGGTGGCGGAAGCGGCTGTGGCTGCCGCTGAAGCGGCCGCCGTCGTTGTCAGACTTACAAGCAACAGCGGTAGATGCGCCGACGCGGGACCCACAAGGATTCGCCAACATTGGGCCGCCGTTAAGATCCAAGCCGCTTTTCGAGGCTGTTTGGTTCGTATCCTTCACTATTATTAATCTCACCAATTTTGACAACATTCTTTTTTATTGCTATTTTTTATTTATTTCTCTGTCATGTATGTACGCGCAAAACTCTCTTTTTTTCCTTTTTTTAATCTTCTGGTTTTGTTCTTGATCTTGAGGTGATTCCTTGTAGTTCTATTCGCTGTGTTACCGAGCTGTTCTGTTTTGTCTTTTTGCTCCAAACTAGTTGCCTGAAAACTCTAAACTTTGTCGTTGTCATTTTTTCTTCTTCTTCTACTGCCCGCATTATTTAGTTCCTTCTCACAATTGAATGGATCAGAATCGGTCTTTCGGGGTAGGTTGTTTTCTGTTTTTATGTTATGGGTAAAAACTAAAAAAGTATTCACTGACTTTGGAAACCACCTTTAGTGGAGAATCTCACTCATTTTTTTGCTTTACAAAAACTCGAAACTGAAATATTTACATATAAAACTAAAGCCTTTACTTTCATATTTAATAATAATGATTATGATAATAATTATATGAAAAGGGTTATTCAAAACATCTCAAATTTCGCTTATGATTAATTACAAGTTAAGCATATACTTAATTGGTGATTTACTTGTTTTTTTCGGGGGGTTGAAACTATTTACGGATCTTGCTGTGATATCTGTACTTAGATTTCATGTATATGGACAGGAGTGGTGGTGCATTGCATGGGTTGGTGGTTATTACTCTAGTTCAGTGTTTGGTTTCCCACTAGCGGCCAAATTGTGTGCGACATGATTCAATTCTTCTGCCATGGCCCATAAAAAGATACTGTCTTTTTGGTAAAACAATGACATTAGGATTTTGGCCTTTTGGCTTTGTGGGGACAGATACGAGTCTAAAGGGGGATTTGCGTCTTCAGAGTGAGGAGACGTAGTATTTGATTTTGATGTTGCCTTTAGATGTGCTTTTATCATGTTTCCAAGACAAATACCAAAGACGGTGTACTGTCCCTTAGGGGTTTTTGATCTGCAAGCTCAGTGGACCCCGTTCTTGCTTCCTTTTTCACCATCTTCATCGCAATAAGTAATTGGAGGTTTTTGTTTTGTGTCTTATGTTATTTTAAATATTTATTAGTAAAGTGTATTTAATACTCTCACACTATGTGGCCATGTCCTTACAATTGAAAAATCCTTAAAAATGTGTATTTTAATACTCATCAATGCTCGAGATGTGAACTTATTCTTTAGTCTGGTTCAAATACTACATGTGTTATCTTTTTATGGGACAGCTGGTACAGTGTTTTTGTCTTTTGAGAATTTTTAATAAGAATGAAATGAGATATATTATCCAGTAAAAGTTAAAATTTACAAGTTCATTGTGATTTCATGAATGCTTTGGTATAACTTCTTTAATTTAACCTTTCGTTATTTTCATTTGGCTGGGTGATATGCACTTATTAGATACCAGCTATCTGGACTCTGAAACACTTCATTTTTGACATCTTACACGATTGTTATAACTTGGTCCTGAAAACTTTTGGACTGTTACCATTCTCGTGTTGTAATGAAACACCCGGTTGGAACTTAGAATTGATTATTGTTTCTTTTACAAGGTTCGGTTGTGTCAGTGTGTGCAGTCTGTATCTAGTTTCTCATTAAGGGAACGCAATGAGGCAGTCACTGAGGCTTACCATTACCTGCCATAACTTTGAATGTAACCTTGTTACACACAATATGCTTATTTTGCTCATGTACTTGCTGCAATTATTAGGCAAGGAGAGCACTGAGAGCATTAAAGGGGTTGGTAAAGCTCCAAGCATTGGTGAGAGGTCACATTGAGAGGAAGCGTACGGCACAGTGGCTGAAAAGAGTGCATACCCTCTTGCATGCACAGGCACAAGTCTCTGCAGGGTTGGCTCAGCATGCCTCACCTTCAAGCGCAAAGTTATCTAGCCACCTCCATGTGAGTAAATAAATAAATTTTTACCTTTTTAATGGAGAATAAAAAGCATTTTTACCATGTGTTTGAAGTAAATAAATTTTACTTTGTCAGTCAAAGTGTTGGTCAGCAATACATAAGTTGGTTTGAGTTGTCAAGGCTAATAATATCAAACGGTTGACCATATCTTAAATATTGGTGCAAATTTATTACTCTTGATATGATTACAGTATTATACACCAAAAATAATAGGATCATACGGTTTTCTGAATGACCATTTGCAGGGTCCAGAAACACCCGAAAAATTTGAAAGTCCCATCAGATCTAAGAGCATGAAACATGAGCAATCACCTATACTCAAGGTACTTTATTTTCTTGCTCGAAGTTACCCAACAAGTTGGAATTTTATACCTTGTCAAGTTGTCAATTCTTATGGTAGCATTTATGTCATTGTAGAGAAATGGCTTCAAATCCTGTGTCCAGATCAATGGCTATCAAGAGATATGTGGAAGTAGATCAGAGAATCAAGTAACTGAACAATCATGGAACTCGGCAAGATCATTGATAAGAACATATAGTTCCAATGATGAAAGAAATGACAGGGTTCTTGAAGTTGATTCTGGAAAACCACACTTCCCAAAGCGTAGAAACCTCTCTTACTCCACAGGTTCTGATCATTATAGTAAGAGTTTGAACAGCACAAAGGAGTCAACTTCTCTTCAATCGGGTCAAAGTCCATGTGGTGAAGTTCAGTCTTACAGTTACAGCTCACAAAAAGCCAACGAGGTTGAAGAGAGCCCATTCTGCACTGCTGACAATAGTCCACAATTCTTATCAGCCACTTCTAAAGACGATGGCTTCAAAAGAAGCCCTTTTACTCCCACAAGGAGTGATGGCTCTAGAAGCTACATTCGTGGTTATCCTGACTACCCAAGTTATATGGCATGCACCGAGTCTTCAAAAGCAAAGGTCAGATCCCTGAGTGCCCCAAAACAAAGGCCAAATAGTGAGAGGCCTGGTTCATCTAATAGATACTCACTTAATGGATTTGATATGTCAAGATTGGCCACACAAAGGGCAATGCATGCAAGCTTCACCAACAAGGCATATCCAGGTTCTGGTCGTTTGGACAAGCTTGGTATGCCTGTGGGGTACAGATACTGAGTTGTGTTAATGTTAAGAGGGTTATGTATCTTCTATTTTCGTTGTATTAACGTCTGATCTTTCTAACCTGTTGTTCTTTGGGCTTCCATTGCGAGTTTAAGTGCCAGCATTAGAAATCTACCACAAAATATTTCAGTGCATGCTGCAAAGTGTCGTCTCATTTTATTACTTGGATGGAATGTTCAAAGGAATTATTATCTTAGAGACTTTCATATCCGAAAATTTGAGTCTATCAGTTACCTTATTCGTTTGATAGATTGATCATGATTCTTGGGTGTGCATCCAATTCAACAAATGCTTCAATTCTCCTAACACAACATATAAATTATCGTAAAAAAGGTATTGACTTGGTTTGCAAAAATTTATGACCGTAGTAGTCCAAAGATAGAGTACAACAAATGTATCTTTTTATCCTTAAAATAAATCAAATAAATTTATTACTGAGCAAATTAAATATATAAAAAAGTGAACGAATTAATAAGGTGTCGTGGTGTAGTTGGTTATCACGTCAGTCTAACACACTGAAGGTCTCCGGTTCGAGTCCGGGCGACGCCATTTGATTAAATTTTTTATAATTATTTCATTGAAAATCATCGATCTATATAGGCTGTAAAGTATCATATAACTTTAAATCATCAAACTCTCTTTCTTAATCAAATGTGAGGTTATGGAAAGTCACAGATGTAAAGAGCATCAAAAGTCACTGTAACAAAAAGAAAAAAAGTCAACTGAAATCGCAAATTCATTATATCTTGATCTTTCCTAACTATTTCAAATTTTTAATGCATAATAGTTATGCTTGTTTTAAAAAAAAACGATTAAATTATTTATGCAACTTTATATCTCTTACTTTTTTAATTGGGTGTACATTATCCAAACTAATATCATTAGGATATATTTTAATATTATTTTAAAAAAATAAATGTAAACATAAGTATCAATTCTGCTTCAATCTTCTTTTCCAATTCTATCTCCCAAAATTCTGTTTCCGTGGGTCGATTAAGGCTTTTACTTTTTTAGAAAGACTTTTAAATAAAATTAAATTAAAATAATATTTTTTAGAATTTATTACACTATATTAAATAATTAGATTTAATTTAATTTATTATATTATATTATATAATTCTTAGTATTATAAAATTTATTAAATATTTAATTTTAATATAATTTGAAATTAACATTATTAATAGTTAATGTCAATATAAAAATAATTTCAATATAAAATATTGAATTCTATATAAATGTTAATCATTTAAAATTATCCATTTTAATATTAATAATTAAAATATTAAATTTCAAAATTAATGTAATAATTTAAAATATTATAAATTCAAATAAAATTTTAATGTTATATATTTTCATTAAATTAATAATAATAATAATATTATTATTATTAATATAAATTATTTTTCATAATTTAATAATACTAACTGAAGCATATTACTATAAAATTATTAGTACTGGCAAAAATTTAATATTTTGTATTAAAAATATTTGTATATTAAAATTAATTATTAATGATATTTATAATGTGAGGTTTTAGTTTTAAAATAAAATAAAATTTGTTTAACCGGTTAAAAGTTATAAATAGAGAGTAAAGCTGTTTTATTTTCATAAAATTTTATTTCACTGTATTATAGAATTTTTTTGAGTTCTTTCTATAATGGAATTTAAGTACTGGAAGATGGTTAAAATTTAGGTTTGAGAGTAGTAGAAAGAAGCTAAAGAAAAAATGAGTTAAATTATCGGATCATAATTTGAAAGGGGTAAGTTATTTTTACTATTAATTGGTTTTATATTGTTTATAAAGTTAAGGATAAAATTTAGCTCATAATTCATCTTATCATGCTTATGTATAACTGCATGGTGAAGTGAGATTACAAAAATATTCAAGGGAAAGGAATTTTATTCAAGGGATAATATACTTAGGTTGAAAAATGTATGTGTATTTTGGAATGTTTTAATATAAGTAAAATAAAAATGTATGTTTATTAGTTTTTTTTTCTTCTGTTATATCGTGTATTATGTACATGTGCTTATGTGTATGAGTTGTTATTGTTGAGTATTGAGGTTAAAATATTTAAAAATGGGTAAAAATGATTTGTTTGGACTCTTTAAGATAAGGTATAAGTTGTAATACCATGTAAAATGTTTCAAATATAATATAATAAGTTATACTATTGAATAATTTAAATATATTTATAATAAAAAATATATATTAAAAGAAAATTATTATTATTGTTGAATTTATATATATATATATATATATTTATAAATTATTATTATTGTTTAACTTATAAAAATAAACAAAGAAGAAAAATATTAATTATTATTTTTCTTTTTCTTTTTTTAAAAGATAAAGTCAACTTATATCAAAAGATAAATTTATTCAAAGTTATGATTAGTACATTTAATGACTTAATTCAATAAATAAAAAAGAAATAAAAAAATTGGTTATAAAAGGGATTCAAGTGAGAGATGGATAGTAGAAAGATAAGACAGGGAAGAAGGAAAAAGAAAGAGAGAGGATGAGAGAGAAAGATAAGTTATCTTTATAAAATTTTGATATATTATCTATAATTCTTATAATAGGAGAAAGAGACATTTATCATTATTCTTCTTTATTTTTACTTATGGTTATGGAGTGAGGTGTCACTAACTTCATTCTATTTATTCTTTTATATTTTATTTACCTCAATTACTTTATTTTTAGTCTTGCATTAATCCTATTTTAATTATCTTCAGTTATGCGTTGATCATACTTTATGTTTTATTTATTTCCATGTATTGGTTCTATTTTATATTTATTTATTTGTCTTCAGTACTCGTCATATTTTATTTATCTCCAGTTACATACTTGACCTTATCTATTTTATCTTCAGTTATCCATTGGTCCTTATTTATTAATTTATATTTATATTATTATTTTTTATGAAGATTTGATGATATTGCAGATGAATGTTGGACTTTGAGGATTGAAATGAGTAATTATCACTATGAATACTAATTAAAATTTGGCTCATTTATCCTGACTAGTCACTACAAATTTAATTCAAATATTTATAATATTGAATAAATGAAATATGTTAAGGAAGTTGAAAAGTATATTTTACATATCATTATGAGATTGTATTATTTTAAATGATAATAGTTCTCACTTTCCTATTGTTATCTCTTGTGCATGTTACAACTAAAATATCAACATAAATAGATAGAAGCATCAAGATGAAAGACACGTATCATTGATAAATCAATCATTATTAGAAAAAAATTTGTGTCAATTTTAATAATTGTTTCTAATATTGAAACAACGTAAACTTGTAAAGTTCACATCTTTATAAATATTTATCTCATGTCTTACTCTCTCAAGACTTAATAGAAAATAGTAATATCTTAAAATATGTTTAAATTAACATGATAAAAAGGGACGCCACATTATATAGTATCAGAACAACATTTCATGTGTGACTTATGAAATGAGTCTATCATGAGATCTTATGAATCCTAACTTATATAATTCCACATGACAAATAATAGGAGAGACAACGAGTTGAGTGAAGCGGCACAAACTATCCGAGACATGGTCGCTGCATTATTAAGGAATCAAAGACCTGAAGGAACCAATGAATCACAAGATTTAGTTGAATTTGGGAGAAACAAACCTCCACAATCTTCTGGAGGTTATAACCCAAAAAAGGTTGAATTATGGATTAAAGAATTAAAAAAAATATTTCGAATTATGAATTGTCCTAACAACTAAAAGGTAAATTACATTGTATTTATGCTTATAGGAGATGCTGAATATTGGTGGGATAATACTAGAAGATTACTAGAAGGAGGAAGAATAATTGTTACTTGGGAGGTGTTTAGAACAAAATTTTTAGAAAAATATTTTTCCAATGATGTGAGGAGAGCAAAAGAAATAAAATTCATACAATTAAAGCAATGAAGTATGACAATAGGAGAATATGTCTCTAAGTTTGAAGAGCTAGGAAAATACTCTGCATTCTTTTATCACCCTGATGACAGAATGAAGTGTATAATATTTGATAATGAACTTAGACTTGAATTGAGAAAAATAGTAGGAATATTAGAAATTTATGATTTTCCCATGCTTATTCATAAGTGTAGATTTTTAGAAGATTTTGAAAACCATCAAAATAATAAACCAAAATATTTTGGACCCCAACCAAATAAAAGGAGATAAAATGAAGGAAACCCCTACAACCGTCCCTAATGGAGATCCCAACCCAGTCAAATTTCTGTAGGAAATTTTAATAAACCTGTAAATAATCAGCTCAAGTGTTTTAAGTGTGGACATGATCATTATGCTAAAGATTGTCATCTTAAATGACCTGTTTGTCTCAAGTGTGGAACCTGATCATATATTCTCTGAATGTCGGTAGCAAAAACCAAATTATAATCCTTTTGCACCAAAAATAAGACCTTTAACATCAAGAAGAGTGTATACCATGAGTGAAACTGAAATCTTTTAAAATAATGATTTGATCCAAGGTATGTATTTCATTAAAACTTTAAATATACTGAATGATTTACACGCAACTCATTCATTTATTTCTAATTATTGTGTCTAACACCTTGAATTGCCAACTACTTTTCTAGACAGTAGTTTGATTGTTTAAATTTCCACAAGTAAGTTTGTAATCACTAATAAAGTTTGTCTAGATTGTCCTTTGTTCATTGAAAATAGAATTTTTTTGTAAATTTAATTTCTCTACCTTTATCTCAATTAGATGTAATATTAGGTATGAATTGGTTATCTTCTAATCAAGTCCTTCTGAATTGTGCAAAAAAATAAGTAATATTTTCAAATTATGAGGATCTTTTGAATTTCTCTACCAACTCAGTAAATGAGTCTTTGAAGAACAAAGTTCAAGGATATTTGTTATTATTTTTTTATGGAAGTAAAAGAAGAAGTCGATTTGAAAAATATAGCAGTTGTTCAAAATTTTCCTGAAATTTTTTCAAATGATATACCT